CGAAGCTAGCTGTGCCGCTCTGATCTGAATACTGGATCGTCACAGTATCGGATAGGTTTTTTTCTACTCTTCTTCGCAGAGTGCACAGGTAATATGACCGTAACGGAGTAGGTGACTAGAGCGAGGACTGGAATGCACTGAGACGAAAGTAAAGCTAAGTAAAGTTTGGGATTAAGTCAATAAACACTCTCGGACAACCACTTCGGTACGATGTTTATTGTGTGTGAACGACTTATTCCAAATCTGAGCCGTTGCTATTCATATAGTTTTTCATTTAGGCACGAAAAGGTAAGGTAGACCTAGCCTAAACCAAAGAGGTTGAAAGAGAAATCTTTTGCTAATACACTAGTGTTGAATCGCGATTCATATCGATGAACTTTTAGGACCTTTTAGGGTTCGCACAGTCTTTGAATTTTGGGGGAAGTCATTGAGAAGTCCTTGAATTCCATTTTTCGTTGAATAAAGTCCTTAAATGTCTGTACAAGTTTCTGAAAAGTCCTTGAATTTTCTCCAACTTTGAATATAGTCGCCTGAAAAGTGTTTTTTAACGCTTTTTTCTTGCCCAAGACATAAGATAACTCACAGCTCAGAGAAGTTAAAAGTGATTTACCTAAAACGTCTTGTTTTATGCAATCAATTTAAGACAAGTGAACTGAATTATGCATGTTTAAAACCAATAATCAAATTTACATTTAATGGACAAATCATCAAAATGACATGCAAGCTTTTGACCGCTAAACTTGAATTTTAATTTCATACTTCAATTTCTCTCAACAACCCTTGTCTCCTTCCCCGTACTTGCAATTCTAGGGCGTATCCCTCGCCTCCTGTTACATTTTTTCTTTGGAAGCAAGGGAGGCGCAATGTTGAGAGGACTTGCCTCCCAGCAACGTGGCCCAGGTTCCAATCGATAAGTGGGTTGAGTTTGTTGTTGGTTCTCTCCTTTGCCCCGAGAGGTTTTTCTCCGGGTACTCCGGTTTTCCCCTCTTTTTAAAAACCATCACTTCCAAATTCCAATGCGACCAGGAACCAGTCGGGAAAACGAAGAACCACTAAGTGGATGTGCTACCTCTAAACCGTGATTTATTTATTTACTTTTACGATCCCGACTTCCTAAAACTGTGCCTTTTCGCTCAGAAAAAAGTCTTGCCCAAAAAAGAAAGGAAAAAATGTAAATGTCATGTCCGACCAGTTCTGTTACCTGTTCAACATGGAAGCTCAAGAAGATCAGAATGCCAAGGAAAATGAAAAACTTCATGTTCCCACCTGGAATAAAGTTAAAAAAAGAAAGAATTGTATTAAAACTGGTTGAACGTTGGTCCTCAAAGATGAGGAGTTTCCGTAAAATTTATACAACAGAGTCCGTAATTTGAATTTTTTAAAAAAAATTAAAGCTACATCTCAGTTAGCACATAATGAAATTGAAGTTAACTCTTTAAGATTTCTCAAGTTTGTGCTTGTAATCTCTGCAGGAGACCTTCCGCCATATGTACAGGTAACAGGTAACTTTTCTCTCACCTTTTTTAGTTTCCTAGACTGACCTCTGGTGCTTTTTTCTACTTTTAGGTTTCAGGTTGAGTGACATAAATTAACCATTTTAAAGTAATTATTATTTTACAGTACAGTACTCTTCGCTCTTCCTCGTTTTTCATAATTCACCGGTCTTTCAACAAAAATTAAACCAGGGATTATTTTTTTAAAAAATTGTCAATTGTTATCAACTATCGCTTGGATGTCACGTTGATTAACTCAAGAAACTTGCCCGAAAAGAGAATAAAAACGGAGTATCTCTTGGAAAACAGTTAACTATGACTATTTTACTTACCAGTTTAAGATCAGCTTCGTCAAAGATTATGTTCTGCGTATTGAACAGCCAAAAGATCGGATTACAGCATTTCTCACACAGTTTCTCATTTCGCACTCATGAATAATTTGGTACTTCAAATTAGTTTTATATAAATACAGCTGGGAACTTAAGTTAAAGGGCTTTACCTAAATCAATTTTTATTAACGGCTAAAGAAGATTGAACTGTGGAATTCATGAATTTAAACTTTTTCATTGCTTGCTATAACTCTTAGTTTATTAATTCAGAACAAAACTAGAGCGTCAGCGTTTTAGGTTTAATATCAATAAGCGAGAGCCTTCAACGTATTTTCACATCATTGACCAAACCGCTTTCTTTATGGATAATATTGCGGTGCGATGGATTCACGCGTTTGGCCCTAAATTATAAGATGATTGGTTAAAACCAATTGGCAAAATTGGCCAAAAAGGGCTAAATTTCTCAGCTTACTAATGGAAATCTTACAATGGAGTGTTTCAGCTTCTTTTCAAGTTAAGTTGTGATTATTTCCAATTGCAAGATTTACTTAACTAAATATATACAACTCGTATCTGAGTTTTAACAGTTGTCAAAATCCATCATAGAATTGAAGTGGTGCGGTCGTCCTAGGCGACCAAGAGTCGTACATACAAGTAAAGTACTTACGAGAACGCCGTCTTCGGGGGCCCCTGCTAACTGTCGTTATAACTGATACCGAGTAGGTTACGTTTAGCTGCACCCTACCCCCGAAATAAAAACTCGCCGTTCTCTCTTTTTTTCTAGAGGGAGGGGAGGGTGCAGCTTCAGGTAGGCTAATACCGTGCGATATTTTTCAACCTTCAGTCACAAATAGCAAAACATTAATCCGTTACTATCATCTCGTTTGTCTTTTATTGTTTGGAACTACGATTCACGATGCTGTTTCAAGTATCAACCGAAATTGTTACAAAGTCACTTGATGCGAATTTTTTTTTTTTTTTTGAGAAAGTCTCACAGAACAGAGGGGAATTTACTGTACTATGTCACTAATTATGTTTTGGTCAGGTAACTTTTTGTTAAGTCATAACTAAAAGTGGTAGGTAATTTGTAACTAGTTGTGTTAGTCTAATTCAGTTGTAATTATCCAGACCATTCAGCTGGTTAAACACTGAATAGATAGTTCGATAATACATTGTTTACGCCTGTGAGTTAAATCACGAAGGACGTACGAAATTAACACTAAAATAATTGTAATTACTCTTTTAAAGAAGAGTAATTCACACAATGACCGCAAATGTTTCCACGTGAAAGTAGTAGTGAAAAACCTTTCTTGGTAAGTCGAGTAAAATACAAAAAAAGGCGCACGAGGCTAATTTGAAACTTGAACGAGCACGATTCCCGCCAAATTTATGACTACGGCCTACAGTGGGGTCTTTGTTCATTTCAATAATGTCTTTCTTTGTTCCCCCTGGTAACCCGAGCTTTTCCCCTGCTCCTGTTCGCACCTTACCATCCCCTTCCTCCAACCTCGCCCCTGGGCTTTTCAATAAGGGGGCATGGGAGAGGCCCTTTAATTTTCTAAGGGAAAATCCCTGGGAACGAGTTTTCCTCCCCCTGCTCAAAATATAAACTCTGATCGAGTGCGAACGTTTGTTGGTGTTTGTCGTAAAATATACCAAAAAATGATGCTTCTTCAGTACGACTTGAAAGAATTAAACTCAAATATTTTCCCTCTTAGACCGAAATAAACGCCTCTTACGTAATAAACGCCCACCTTATCGCGCCCCCTATTAAAATTACTCCAGATACTATGAATTAGAAAAACCCAGCAAAATCATTCCATTCATTCAGTTCCTTGTTTGATTAACAAGGCTTTGCGCATTTCATCTTTAGCTTGTATAATATCAAGTTCAAAGTAAGGATAGACTAATGACGGCAACACAATAACCTTGAGCGAAGATTCTGACCGGATCGATGTTGGGATTTGAAAGCGATATAGATCTCCAAACGGCGAAGACGGATCAATTGATCGAGTGGATATTCCGCTGTTTTTAAACTCTCCTGGCATTTTCCCCGAAAGCGTGTTAGGTTTGTTCAACTTGTTACAGTTATGAGAATGAACGCCTCCTATCGATTAAGGCCTCCCCCCTCCCCCGCTTAAACCCCTAAAATTAAAAAGACGCCCCGGGAGATTATTACGTCATTTAGGGTAAGTATTTCACGTTGACTGACACTGTGTTTGGTTTTTTTACATTTGACTGAAATGATCATCGATTCCAATTTTTCTCTCTTATCCCAACAATTTCTTGTCACTTTTTGAACGATAACTAGGGATCCTATACCAACCACGACGGCGGCGACAGCAAGAACGTCAAAAGAGCAAAAACAAACAACAAACAAACAACAGCAGGCTGGCAGACAACAACAAATACTACGCAGTATCAAGATTTGAACACATAAAAAGAAAATGCCACAATTTTCAAAACTAAATGGTTGCATTACCATACAAACATTAATAGTTCAAACCGCTGAAATACAACACCTCCTTGCGCGAAATAATACTCAAAGAGTCAAGCTTGCTGTTTCTAGCAAAGTGAGCTTGGGCACCTGTGATTCAAACGACTCCCACAGTCTGGGCTACCTGTGCCCATAGCAATTTCACCCCTACACGAGTTCCTTTAAACAAAAAGTAATACATCAAGTCATGATATGAATAATTTAATCGGAAATTATTTACTGATTTTAGCATCAATATTTTCTTGATGACTACAAACGAAAACTCAACAATCAATTGAAATTCTTTTTTTGCCTTGTCTATTTATCTTTACAATCACAACGATAAAGTCTTTATTTACCAACCGCTTAAGATGCACTGGTCTTCCGTGCGAGCTGTCTCTGAATTGAACATCAGTTAAGACATGCTCCGAAAATAACATGATGGAAATATGTTTCAAAAACGCTTAAAACTGATAGCAGGCAGATGCTGTAAAGCAGTGGCTTTGTCAGTTGTCTTTACCATTTTCTCACATAAAAGCTGAGTGCTTTGACAGTGTTACGGGTTTAGGGACCATTTAGAGGTGACAGCGTGAAGCGATGCCTTGGCAGTGCACAGTGCAATGAAAATCACCAATCAATTGGCAGCTGCAGCAGCAGCTAAGTTACGTGAACTAAACTTCAAGCACTGCTCAGCGTAACATTTTTTACAATGATCTTGCGGAATATTTGCGTTTGGACTTGTCAATCGAAAACTTCTTTCAATTCTTCAGCTTGGTCTTATCGGAAGCACAACTCTGGCTACTCAACAGTATTGTTAACTTGAAAATCGGTCATGTGCCCAGCAAAGTTTAACGGTGCATTTGAACATCAACAAGTTATTACTTTTCCTACAGAGGACTCATAGTCACGACCACTGTAGATGGGAGCAAGCTTTAGGAATAGCCGCCAGCCAAAGCACATGCTTTTGAACAAAACAACGAGGTATTTAGGTGATCAGCCGGCTACTCCTGCCTTCCCTCTGACTCTTGACTTCCCTGTAACAAAGAAAATAAAAATAAATAAATAAAATATATGAGACGACAGAGAAATCACTTGCTTTAACTAATTCCGTGGTCATTAAGGGTATGTTAGTTACAGCACGCAGCTTTACAGTACTAGAAAACTAAACTACACCTACGCTGGACACAGACTTTCTCGGAGTTCTATTATCAACCGTTTGAGACCCAATATCCATACTCAAATTCTCCAAATTGATCTCCATACATTTTCTTAAGGAACGAGTTGAGAGAATTTGAAAAAAAGATCACAGCATTTTCCCATAGATGATCATTTCATCAATTCTCATAACCTCTCCACTGGATAATGTATTGATATCAGAGAGCTTTAGATTAGAGGGCGAGAACGAATACGAGATTTAACTTAAAGTTTTTGCGCGTATTCTCGAGAAATATTCAATACAAAAAGCTTCATCGTACTAGTTTTCACCTGAAAAATAAGAGCGGTTATTTTTATTGGAGAAGTTTAGCCTTTTCCCGGTTGCAAAATGATTTCACTTCACAAAACTAGTGGTAGAATGACGACGGCTATCCGGAACGGAAGAGGACTACTTAGTGCTGAGAAAATCTCGTACTCGTAGCCTTCCTTGTCTCTGAATCTAAAGCTCTCTACTGTTAGGAGAAAATTGATCTTGGTCAGCCTTGGGATTTTAAGGGTTCATGAACTCTTTCTCCAAGAAAGGAAGAGGGGCTTACCCAGGTCTTAACTGACGCAAAAAGAAAAAAAACAAAACAAAGCAAAACAAATGCATCACAATGTCCCTACACAATGATAGTAAAATAGACTTCCATTCGTTGTTGATTCAAACAAAAAACCGCGTATTTGTCGTAATGGTGGATCGTTGCAGTTGTGTCCACCATGTCGTTTTTCCAGTTTCACACATAACATAACAACTGACAAATTTCAGTTCAAAGTAGATTATTATGGCGTACCGCGAAAATTCTTCAATAACGGTGCTTCTGATTAAGCCAGAAGTACCGGAGATAGAGCTCAAAAATAAAAAAAAACCCCGGACGAATCCAAACCTAAAGCTAAGAAGCCAACTAAGAAAGCAAAGGACCAAGATTGAGACACTAGTCAACAAAGGAAAAACATTCAATGTCTTTAAGCAAAAACAGTTACTTCTTGAAATAATGATACTTTCTGTTCAGAAAATGCCCCGTTCTTATAGACAGTTGGACATTTGTGCCACTATGTAGAATTTTAGAATGAACGCTTAAAATTAATATTAGCAGGAGTGGCGATAAGGGAAGATTAACAATACCTCAAGCTCAACCAAGTCCTCCACACACTGGACCACATCAGGTATCTGCTTGCCTCTGAAGCCAGCTGAACCACAGACTGCCTTTGCTTTCTTTAGATACAAGATCAATTCCTGCCTGAATAGAGATGGCACAAACACTAGTCTACAACGCATCAAGTCTTCACACACTTCTTTTCCTGTACGTGGCGGTGATTAAATGTTGATTGACTTGCAAAGGGAAGGGGTGTGTGCAAGTGACACTGTAACCGGTGAGTGGAAATTACCGTAAATGATCTCACTGACACCCCATCTCAAATAAACGCCTATTGTCCAATAAACGCTCTCTCTACGACCTTACGTTTGTAATTGTAGACGCTCTTCTCTAATTAACACCGCCCTGTCTCATAGATGCCCCCTTGACAGTTATTCCAATATACTAGGAATAGTAAAAAGGAGCAAAATCATTCAATTTATTCAGTTTCTTGCTTGATTACCAAGGGTTTGCGCATTGCATCTTGTTCAATGTCAACTTTAAAGTAAAAAAGGGTAACAATGACAACACAATGACCCTGAACGAGAATTCTGACATCGAAGTTGAGATTTGAAAGAGGGATACGGATCTCTAGACAGACAAGACATATCAATACTCATAGACTGGATATTCTGTAATTTACAAATTCTCTTGATATTTTCGCTGATAGCAAATTAATTTTGTAGAGTTCGTTGCAAAAATGAAAATTAAAGCCCCTGACAAAATGTTGGTAAAAACACAATCATTATAAAGGAAATAAAGGGAGATGTAAAGAATCAACCATAAGAGGACACAGAAAAAAATCTGAGCCCTAGATGGGATTCGAACCCACGACCCTCCGTATTCTAGATCGGATGCTCTAACCTCTGAGCTACTGAGGACTCGTTGGCGAGCAAGGGTCGTTTTTGTGGGTTGGACTTGCGAACCCTATCTCGCAGTCACACAGTCCATCACAAGCAACACATTAAGGCTTAACTGTATCACACGGTCACATTAATAGTAAGAAATGTCTCACCCATGAAAAACACAATCTGGACTGATATTTACCTGGTTTTGCTAGGAAACCTCTTCTGGAGAGCCTCCATAAGCTTCTCAAAAGAGGAGAACTTGCCCGCGGAGGGAGGGGAATGCTCCGGTGCTTCCCCCTCTGGTACAGGCTCAGTGTTAAGACCAGGGGGACGGCGTAGTGGTGCAGAATTTTTAGGCAGCCCACCACCTGAAGCAACACCATTTTGTATCATCTGTAGGCTACACAAATACTGGGATAACAGTTCTGGAGGAACGACAGGGAATGGGGTAGCTGGTGTGGCAAACCCTGGTGGAGCAATCATAGGCACTGGTTGTTGACCATTACTAGAATGTACGTTCATGGGAAACTGTTGTCCATTTGAATTGGTATCGCTGAGGACAGTTTCCTGATTTTTTTCTGATGACAAAAGTGGTTCTTGAGCCGAACTTGACAATGTTGATGGCACTTCTTTCAAATTTTCTGCCCTTGTGATGTTTCTTGCTTGAGTGGGTGTCACACTAATAGGGGATTTTGCTTCACCACAGGCATTGTTGCCTCCTGTTGACTCAGAAGATTCGGCATTACATGAGCTGGTATCTTGCTCATCACTGACGCTTGATTTCTGACCAACAGACTGCCTATATGAACGAGGTGGACTTCTCAAGTTAATCTCACACAATTGGTCCACGTCTTTATGTTGCTGCACAGACTGTTCTTTTCTGTCAAGTGTTGGTTTATGCATGGCACTCTTTGATTTTTTCCCTACAATAACTGTCCAGCCATCATTATTCTGTTTCTCCTGGTCACTGCCCTTGAGGCCTGTAGTTTCACCTTCACCTTCAGCTTCTGTTCTTCTTTTCAAGCTGAGAAGAAAAAAAGAGGAGATTAATAAAGATGACTGTCTCTTTACGCAAACCACATTACCATGAAGTAGCCCTGGGCAAGCTAGCCTGTGAACGGGGCTAGCTCTTCAGGGCACTCTGGCAGTGGGGTGGGAAAAGGAAGGAAACTTGCAACTATGTCTCTGGAATTTGAATTCCACCTGCAATTCCCATGTGGCTCCCCGTTGACTGAGCTGTCAGATTTCCGTCAATCGGCGTGAAGGTATAATGAACCCGAATGTAAACAAACATTGAAAAACCTGTGCCAAGGGTAATGACATCATCATCAATGTCACCTCTGCCAATCAGCATTTTGTATCAACTTTTTCAATGCAGATATTCAAATTCCATAGACGTAGTTGCAAGCTCTCCTTTCTTTTCCTGCCCCACCGCCAGAGCACCCCAGAGAGCTTGCTCGCAGGCTTTGGGCAAGCAAAATGTAAGAGCTGCTTGCTCAAAGGACAAGCTGGAATTCAAGTTTTTTAAAACCCTGCAATTTCGTTGGACCCACTAACACTAGATGCTGTTGGATCCATTTGACAGAGCCCTTGAAATCAAAGGTTCTCAACAGTTTAGTAGATGAAAACTGTAGAAAGAGATACCAACCATGCTTCACAGTCATTGCTCTTCTTGGCCGCTAACAGAGTTGTCTTCATATCATCTAGCTGTTCTTCCAGAGACTTCAGCTTAGCAGTTTGCTCTTGAGCTACTACCCTCAGGGCCTCCAATGCAGCTTCCTTGAGTTGTAGGGCAATTTTAGTGGCCTCCAGGTCTTCTTCTTTGGACTTCAGCTCCTTTGATATTCGTTTGATTTCAGTTTCTTTGTGTCTTTTAAGTGTTTTGAGATCTTTCTTTAGTTTCTGAAAACAAAGAGAGGCAATCTGGTTTTAAGTATAACAACTTCTAATGATTAGATAAACTAAGTTAGGGCCCAGAAAGGGTCTGTCAAGTGTTCCCTTGCTACCTTTTAGTGTTTAAATTTTTCTAAAAAACAATAAAAATTATTGTTGCTACAAAGAAAAGCCTTTGCTCTAAACAGTCTGTTGACAATGTGCCGGCAAAACAAAAGCAAAAGAAAATAATACAGGGTGCACAGGGCTCGAAATTGCGACCGATACGGTCGCATTTGCGACTTAATTTTCTTATTTGCGACTGGAAAAACGAGAGTAGTCGCAAATTTGCGACTAGGTTTTGCCTTAACTGATACGAAATAAAAGGACTAGCACTTGAATTTTTGCTTGAATAAATTTAGAAATAAAAAGATTCATTGAAGTAGCGTCTTATAATTTTGTTACAATCTGAAGGTTTACCGTAATTTACCTGGAATGCATACACGCAACGATATTCCTTCAACAGCACGCCATTTTCAGCGGGTTCTGTAAACATGTACATTACAGGCTCATATTTCGTTTTGATTTGCCGCTGACAGTCCCGCCAGCATGCTGAGGACTTTTCCCGCGTTTATGACCGGCGTTACGGCCCTCACAGTACACATGTGTTCTTCTTTAGTGATTCAATTATGTCGGATGAAAGCGACTTAAAGGTCACATTTTAAACGAAGAAATCGACCGAGCGAAAGTTATATACTCAAGAAAACAAGAGGAATTCTCACGTTTAATCAGTCAGCAGCCAAAACCATGATACAGTAATCTTGCTCGAGATGAATCTACGTATACATGAAAACGAGGTTTAGCAAACAAAGATGGCGGAATGTCCGCATGGCACGTGTCGTCGTATTGAATGATTCAGTCCTTCAGGGTTCTTTGAATAATCACTGTAGTAACACCCCTGATACTTCAGATGTAAAGCTTAATATATAAAAGAATTCGTTACTTGTTTTGTCATCGGTGGAAAACCTGCAAAAGGTAAAACTAAAGGAATTTAGTTACGTAACGTAACCTATAACCATGTCGGATGTCCGCCCAGTACAAATGTTATTGCTATTTTGCAGAGATTGGAGGCATTTAAGAACTGCAGTTTCCTGCTGTAATATCTGTTCATGATTTGGAAATCTATCGCTTTGACTAAAATAACAGACACTAATTTATGTGCCTTAACGCAGGTTCAACTTGATCGTTTAGATGAACTGGTGTTGTCCGAGACGCTTAACGTTCTGTACTATTAAGTCTCGAAATTACATGAAAGCTGTTGAAAGAATGAAAATTAAAGCGTTAATCATTTAAAAGCCTACTTATTTCTTGATTAAATGGTCTCAATTAATTTCGCGACTAACATTTTCAAAGTTGCGACCAAATTTTCGTAACTAGTCGCAAATTTGCGACCAGACATTTTTTTTAATTTCGAGCCCTGGTGCAGGATAAGAAGATGCACACAATGTGCATGTTCAAGACAGGCTGTGCACCTCACAGTAATCCTTGCCTGAACGTTTGCTGCGTGCATGTAAGTTATACTCACCTCAACTTCCTCAGATTTCCCACTAATATCCTCTTTTAACTGATCCATAACTCGCTTGTGGTTATGTCTAGCATTGGCAGACACATCCTTTTCATTTTGAAGACATGTATTCAGTTCTTCCCGCAATTTCTTTTCATCAAAGTACAAATCTTTATAACACAAATCGTCTCCTTCATCTTCAGTGGCTTTGTCATCAAGTTTCCATAGCAGATACTCCTCTTCAAAAGCCTCTTTGGATGCACTCACTTGAACCCCTATGGTCTTGTTAGTCTCCATGCCTGTTTGACAACAACGATCGAACACAACGGTGACATCAGTTTGCGTACTAGCTTGTGTAACACTGGTAACTGGAGGTGTCGCAACGCAATCATTACGGCACTTTTTTGCACTAACAGGTGTTTCAGTACTTTTCCCAACTTTTATTCCATTTCTTTTTGCCAGTTCCTCAAAGACACCTCTCTTTGTAACAACAGAATGCTTTGCCGGGAGATCAAGCATGTCTTCTTGAGGGAAGAAGAGATCTTCACCAGGAGCAGGCGAACTAGAGCAATGCGACGAAGATCTTGAATTGCTTACTTTAATACCCTTCAAACGCGCAATTTCTTGAAACAAGGCAATTTGCGGATCTGGGTCCAGCTCATAAGGACATGTGTACATGTCTGTATAATAATCACTGCCTTGTGCGTTCTCATCCATTATAAATTCAAGCTGTTCCAAAGAACTGTCACCAGAGTTCTTGCTAGGATTACCATCACCTACTTTAATCCCATTCAATCTAGCCATTTCTTGAAATTTGGCAATTTGAGCATCTTGGTCCTCTTGAGTATCTGCTACACTTTCAGCCCCTGAGACCAGCTCTTTGTAGGAATTAGTAGTTGAATAATTTTCACCTGAAACATTGCCAACCTTAATACCTTTGAGGCGGGCAAGTTCTTGAAATGTCGTGATTTGAGCAGCTTCTGTCAAAGACCTTTCACCTGCTGCAACATGTTCACTTGTGAGCACAGTTCCTGAAGAAGCAGTAGTCTCACATGATGCCTTGTCAGTTTCAAAACTCTCTTCTTTTTTCTCTACATCTAGGTTTTCAGATTCGTCTTTTGAGCTTGTTTTTCCCATTCCTGTTTCAAGAGTTTTTGTTTCAAAACTTTCACACTGAAGTGCATCAGGTTTTCCTGGGGCTTCAAAACTCACAACTGGTTCATAAGACCCTGTGACAGGTTTATTTTCTGTCGACAGTTTTCCTACAAAATGTACAGTTTCCTCATCGATGACTTCACATTCCTTAGAAAGATTATAACCCTGAACTGACTGAATTTTCTCACAGTCCTTTGTTTCTTCAATTCTGAGGCAATTCCCTGCCACAGTATTCTTGAAAAGATCAATAACAGGAAACGTAGTATTCATTTCTTTTTCCACCTCTGCTTCAAACCCACTTGCACTTCCAGTAGCCTCAGGAGCATTCTCTACTTTTCCAAAATGTGTCTCTCTACAAGAGTTTTCCCAACTCTCTGCTTCTGCTGACAAACTGCTGCTTGATAGCACAACTTGTGCCAATGTTGTAGAAATGAGCGCTCCTTCATCTCCCCCAACAGCGTCTGATGTACTGTCCACCACTGAACTATAAGCACTAGTGACTGCTACTTTATCTTTTGAACCTGCTGGTATTATAGAACAGGAATACATTAGTTCTTTTATAGGGCAAATAAGATTGCAAATGATCATCTCCAATATTAATTTTATAGAATATCCAAGTACAACTGTAATAATATCACACCTCTAGGTTTTCCTAAGTATTTCATTACCTGCTGGGCAAACAGTTATTCCATTTTTCTCAGCAATCTTTTTAAAGTCCTCCAGAGAACCACTCTGCTTTGCTGTTGCTCCAGCTGTCAAGGAGAGATAAAGTCCTATGGTCAGTGAACCATTATTAACCAACAGTACATGTACTTTCCAGGACAAAAAATTATATCATTACTGTGTATTAACCTGTGAAAGGTTTGAACCCAGGAGTCATTTCTGACAATATAAAAAGTACTTCTAATACACTGTAGCTCCTTGCAGGCACCATCATACATTATAAAATGAAAATTCAAGTGGACCTACAAGCTCTAGGGAAGCAACAGTAATAGTGAGGCATCATTTCTATGATTTAAAAGAATGGAATCAAACTGAGGAAAAACAAATACTTCAACAACAATTAAGTTGCAACCATGGTTGAAATCTAAAAAAAATAAATGGTGACCAGGAAAACACTTTGTGGCCATTTCTTAGAGGCTTATAGAACAGGTTTGACTAAACAACTGTGGACCAAACACATACATAGAGGATATTACACGGTGGCGCAAAGATATGAATTTTATTTTCGAGTGGCAAAACAATATTTTGCGAATGAGCGCGGCGAGTAAGTAAAATTTTGTTTTTGCCACGAGAAAATAAAATTCATATCCTCAAGCCGCCATGTAATGTTCTTTTTATTATATAGACAAAAAGACATCAATAAAATAATAGAGGGAAATGACCAAAATTACGTCATCGATAAACTCACGTGTGAGATTATGGAAAATAAACCACTCAGGTTCCGGATGTAGTTTTTATGAATTTTACGAGCGGTATATTTTCCAGTAAAACACTCGTGTCTATATAATAAAGTAATTTCTATCACCTTTATTCTGCTCCTTTCCAATTCTGATACCGTTCTTCTGTGCTGCAAGCTCAAAGAACAACTCTTTGGTAAGACCATCAGTAGGACTGCCCAGCTTTTCTAGTTCCCATCTGGTTTTTCGTGTTGTTGGGGCAGCATTAGCAGTAAGAGGGATGGGAAACAGAGGAATGTTATATGTAGGAGAAGGTGGATCAATTAATGTTCTGTAATCAGCTGGAACAGTGGGTCTAACAACAACAGGGACAAGCTTGGGTCTCATAACAAACGGACGGCAGAATTGTGGATTCATCCTCTTGTTCTTCTTTGCTGTAATCCTGGTATGATAACCTGACAGAAGAGTTTATACTATTAACCTTTTAAGCCTTATGTGCTGATGAGGAAAATTTATTTAACAATCAAGATATTTTAATTTTAACCCTTTACATGCGAGTAGCCACACTTGAATTCCTCAGAATAATCTCTGTACATTTCCTTACAGAATTTGCTACGAGAGTCTGACAAAAGGTCAAACCATTTTCCCTTTGACGATCAAATTGTCAAATGCCACAAGCAAAGATTGTCATTGTGTTCAAAACTGACAACGAAATTGTGTGCAATATTTAACAATGAATTTCTTCACGAAATACTCACGTGATGATTGAGAAGCTACATCAACCAGTCAAAGAGTTTTTCATCTGTTACCTATCTGTAGACACCTCAAGTTGCTTTAACTTGGCAAAACATGGCTACAACTTTAGAATTTTTAGGTGTCTGAACACTGAATGAAACTTTTTAAAAACAACAACAATAGGGCCGTTTATACCAGAGAAAATAAGTTACGGCTTACTGTGGCCGCGGCTTACACAAGACGTAAAGGGAACCGTTTATACTAGCACAGCTTAAAAAGATGCAAACTGCTCGTATAAATGGCTCACAGCTGAGTTTTCGGCCAGACTGGTCCAAAAATGATGTAGTCTGTTTGGTGCCTCCCTTAAAGTGCAACAATTCCACTACTGAGGGCCATTCAGTTTCATATCCACTCCCCTAAATTGATGAGATACTTTGAAATTTCCCTGAACTTTAAAAAAATTCTGAGTGTTTGCCCAAAACACTTGGAAAAAAGCATTGATACGCATTTATCCTCTCAGAAACTGTGCTCAAAACGTCTTATAACCTTAAGAAATATTTGCTTTTCTGCTTCCTCCTCTCAGAAAATCTGGTCTTCTCTCCTACAGACAACTTTCACAAAATGCATCTCATCAACCAGGGGAGAGGTTAGACTTGCTACAAGTTGACCTCTCATAAGTTCATACAAGTGAGCAAAGCGGGCTTTAATGCATGAGGTTGCCCAGTGACAGAGCCAGCGACAAAGTCTCAAGGTTGACTTGTTTTGCCTGAATGGATTTGAATCATAAATATAAATTCACGTGGGAAAAAAATGAATGACATATGCTGTGTTGGGAGCGGCGTGAAATATCACTTACTGTCCTATTGGTCAATTATCATGATGTAATCAATAGAATTTTCCAGCAGAGAATTTTGTGCCAAACAGGCATGAAAAGTCCTTTAAAATGGCATAACCAACCAGGAAAAAAATAAACGAGTTTTAAAAAGTCTAGGGAGGGGTGTGGATATTCATAGGAATGGTTCTGACCTCAAAAATTTCTGAATTTTATGGTGCCACCTGGGGCCATCAAGAAAAAAAAAAACATTGTGAATCTGGCAAGAAAGCTATTTGGAAGAAAATTTGGTATGAAATGCTTTCTGGTCTATATTCCATAGTTATGGGAAAAACAACTCTACTTTACTATGTTTTCATTGTTTGTTTTGTCAGAACATACTACTGTCACTGAGCTTCATGCATTAATTCGTTTGGAAAACTTATTTATTATGCGGAAACAAAAGCTTAAACAATAGAACATAAGCTTAATAACGACGGAAAACAAGAAGAGCTTAAATGATGATGGCGTCACAAACTTTAGGAAATATAAGCTTAACGTTTTGCAATCCGAGTCTGACAGGAACTGTGATAAAAAAGCCAGGAGTATCCGTCCTGAATTAACACTGCAGTTGACGTTCGCGTCGTAAAGCAGTGCGTGGAGAAAAGATATAAAGTCTGCCGTTTTCTATCATAAAAACTCGAATCGCAAATGCAAATTAAAGGCCTGCCAGAATAAAATGCTTTGTAACTACAGATAACCAACGTATAAGCGCGTAAGCAGAAAATTTGACGCAAGACAGCGAACAGGAGAACAGAGATTGTTTGCGCATCCAAACATTTCGCCTTTAAGAAACCTTTTGAGGTCCACATCGTTTACTGCTTCGCAAAATGTGTCTTTCATCACGCTTATTTCGAAGGAAAGCTTAAGGTCTCAATCAATTGAACAGATACTAGAAGCTTGTATTAAGTTTGTTGACAACTCGACCATGCATGGCGCTGATCGCTCAACCATTGCATACCGCAACAACATGTGGCTTGCGGGCGATTACTCATGCAAAATATTTACTTCATACTTGCCTTAACAGTCCATTTTGTCTTTGCTTTTAAGGATTGGAGAAATGAAAAGACGAAATACGCCACAACGTAGATACTTTCAGCTGCGTACCATCTCCATTCCTCGCAGCGTCGCGGTAGGCGCTAGACTAAACAGCGTGACATGAGCCGCCGCTCATCGTGACCCGATTTCCCGCGCTTTGGATGATTCACCACAGGTACCTCAACATGCAACAGAGACGGTCAAAGAAAAGAATTGAAAACCACCCATTTATTAAAGATGTCTTTAAAAGACAAACAAGAGAGAAATTAATAGGGAAAAAGAAAGCTGCCACCAGCAAGACGGCTACGCGAACTTTCTTCAAGAGTTTTTGCCACAAGACCTAACAATCGGACTGTACCAGTTGTTTATAGGCCGCGTGCCGGCCCTAGCCACACCTCAAACCACACCCTTCCTGCTGGAAGTAAGAGTTACATGTGCAATTTTACATGATAAACGTTAGACAAAACAAACATTTATCAGGATCCCTGAAAGAAAGATTCTACCCTCTTCTCCTGTCTGAATAAATTCTATTAGACAAAGCACATGTTATTCCAGGTGGGGGGTGATCTTATGTCAGTGTTTTGTGTAATCAAAAGCAAGTCCTCACCCGTGTCAGATCTGTCTACTGAAAACAGTCAAGGTTGCGGAAGTTGAATTCAAAATAAACACACTGATTTAGCAAACTGGTATTTCTTAAAGTCACGAACGCCAAAATAACAATCAATTTGTCGTTTTGCTAGTACAGATTTTTCGTTTTTACAACCTAACAGTTTGCTCCAACCTGGATATGTAACAGGGGGTCAGCGATCTTTTTGCCAGATTGCTGGATCATATCTTATTTTTGCGGCTTCCCCCCCGCAGAGACCAGTTGAATGAATAACAGACAAAACGTGCAACATCTGGCATTGAAATAGGGATTTTACTGAGCCTGTTTGAGGAGTTCAGACAGTGGACTGCAGCGCGAAGTCGGAGAGCGGGGAAAAAGAAGGAGGGAGAGCAGGAGGGAGCAACTCACCCCTACCCCACCCCCGCTGATTTTCCTTGTCACATCTCTTTACGCCTTCCCTACAATCTGAACGTCCCCAAGTCATTTCGCCCCCGTTACTAAGCCCCCTAATTTTTGTGTCATTCAGCGCGCTTTAAAATGTAATATCCTCGTTCAATAAGCCATACAGGAAAACAAGCACACATCAAATGTAATATTCCTCTTCTATAAGCCATAAACCTAAACAACCGCACTTCAAATATAATATTCCTTGTTCTAGAATAAGGGGTCAAGTTACCGGGGCGAAATGACTTGGGGGCGAGATGACCCGTAACCCCTGGAACAGGCTAAGAGTTTAACGGGTATGGCTTGATCGACAGACGTTAGCTGTAATGTCTAATGTCAAAATTTATAGAACTTGGCCGCGAACTAACTCTGCAAAGGGGCTAGCGGAGCGAATAAATAATAATTATCATTTGCTCAGTTGACCCTTTTGCTACCCTGTTTTATATTTGTTGGAAATTTCGTACCTCATTTTTTCTGTTCCGTTCCTCTCTTTGCGTCATCCCCACTACCTGAACGCCTGGAATCCTGAGAAACTTCCTGAATCTAGGCAAGCAGTCCCAATATCAAGACCCTTCTTTGATTTAGTGACATAGACCAACATAGGTATATCTCCCCCAGGATTCATGTTAAAACAACAATAACTAACAAACTTCAGCACACTATCCTTTATATACAAAATTCCATTTAATTTCATTTGAACTCTGAAATTATCATAATTTGGTTCCGAAAATATTTTTTTTCAATTACAAAAGAATATGTTTTTTAACTAGTAGAAATTAGCAATAAATTGATAGCAGCAGCTTAATAGCCTTAGACTTAATCCACAAGGATAAGCCTCGAAAATTAGGTTTTATGTACATCTAATTTTTGGTCTTCTCAGACACTTCTACTTCAGTGGACAAATATTTACATTATTTTTAACAAACTATTTTAAGTTTTGTTCTGAGCAAGCTACTTTAAGAGAGAAATGAATTATTTTCCAATATACAATATTAAACTTCTGTTTAGAAATACAACAATGTAGAACCTTTTTAGACTGTTTACTAGTGCTAATTTCTGAAATAATTTTGGCAAATTGTTTTCACTTCCCTATCATAGTAAAATCTGTATTCACAATAATGAGAAATTAGTAAGAAATTCTATATATCTGATAAGGCGATACCCCCAATATCTGGAATAATTCTTATTCAGCTCCCTGAGATATGGAGTCATGAGTCTTCCAGTCTCTTAATATGAACTTAATTAAATAAAACCATGGTTTGGAATAAATCTTTTCATCGTGTTTTACTTAGGCCATCCCAATAAAATGTTTCGTTTCCAATCGCCCTCCCTCTCGTGAAGGTGGGTCTGTCGGCTGGGCAAAAAATAAAAAGAATGAACACATGATTGCATATTACATCTCAGGTTTAGTCTGCAAGATATAATCAGATGGTAAAAGATGTATATTAACAGGACTATCAAATGTCTAAAAAGGCTACAAAAACGAAGTATCGATGATAATTTAGACAATTGGTGTTAATAAGACAAGATCGTGTGCTTGTAAATTAAAGTACTTGCTTCTTTACAAGTGATTCTGGAATTTTTTTTTTTTTTTTAGTTTTCCAAAAAAATGGGTCGGTCGGGTGATGGGAAACGACGCATTAAATTGGGATGGCCTTAATAAATTTTTTACTAGAAATTATTCAAACTGAGTTATTGTAAATCCTGGAATGATTTTTTAGCTATGTTCTACATTTGGTCCATCTTTCAGAGAAATTTTTCTCAAGGAGAACAGACTAGTTTATGCCAAAATTTAAGTGCCCCAGCTTCAAGTACATTTCTTGAGAGGCACAGCAAGGTAGGGAAGGGCGAAGGCATGGACAATATTGGATTCACCCTAACATCTGACAGCATTATCTAACATAGAGAACAAATGTATACACAAAGCATCAAAATTCACTGAAGCTAGTCTTCTCCAGGGACTCTTATTTACAAAAGTACATGCAAATATTTAACACTTCAAAATTTAAGGTATTAAAATATAGAAATAAATGATAAATTCCATGCCTTTAAAATGGTGACTGATCATTGAATTGATTGGAAGCACACTGTGAAATAATTCCAAAATATGTAATTCCGGTGCATTAGTTACAAATTAGAGCATTTTCGGTTAGTTCTGGTTTACACACCCTGGCTACGAGGGAGGAAGGGGACTCAACAAAGTTTTTTTCAGAGATGCCTGGTGTCAGTCAGGTACAACCATTACCCTGGTACCCCTTAGAAACTTTATATCACTTTCCTTTGGAGGTAAGCTTTAATAAATTTAAATGAATTAGCCATCTCCTCAAGATAAGTGTAACTATTCCTATGCTGTGTTCTGGGGGACTTCGGTATGAAAGATGGGGATGCTTGTCATCTTGCTCAGGGATGTTAAAAAAAAGTCAATAAATATTTTTACCCTTTAATACCCAGTATAGTTTAGAGTTGCGCATTAATAATGTCTCTATAGAACAATCCTAGTACATACAACTGTGTTTAACAGAGCATTATTTTGATGTTAACATCTTTAGTGCAATTAAAATCACTACGTAGTTCTCATCTGGTTGTCTGTTTTAGTACGAAATCCTCTTTGGAGGTCAAATAAAGACAGTGAGCCATACCCAGAAGAGTGACTTTCTGGGGTTTATTTCTAATTCTCCTACGAGCTTCCCCATATTTTCATATTTGAGTCCACACCAGCAATTTTATACACCTCTAACCTGAAAAAAGGTACCTCTTTAAGGGCAAATCATCTCTGCAGGGGCGGATCTAGGGGGAAGGTGCAGGGGGTGTGCACCCCTCCCCCCACCGAGATGACCTGCGGTTTTCTAATACAACTGGTATTCTGCAAAAACAAAAAACTATGTGGTTTATTGGTGTTGAGGTAGAGCAAGAGACAAGTGCAGCCCCTCCTAAAAAAAATCCTGGATCCGCCCCTGCTCTGTACTTAAAATATTAAATGTACATTAAATGTATGACCCCAGCCCAATTTATCTTCCAGACCTTGGTATTTTTAGTGTTGTCAATGTCTTTTTTTCTTTTTTGTATTAATATTAATAATATTATTATTATTACTATTGCTAAAAAAGTAACGGACAGACCATTAGAAATCTTAAGGGGGGGGAGTACAAAAAAAAATATTAGTGCAAGGGATAATTTAATGGAAAAATTCATGCATGCAACTTAACCCTAAAAAATATTCATGCAATAGCCTAAAAAAAATTGTACAAGGAAAATGTTAACAGAAAAAAAAATCATGCAGCTCGAAAATTCCCCACCACCCCCCATAACTTTTCTAATGGTCCGTCCCTAATGGGACCACAATGACAGCAAGCTCGAGTAACTGAATCAAAGTTCAGGGCTGCGCTCTAGCAGCACCCAGTGCTCCCTTGTGCTTCTGAGCTCTGGACGACAAAGTATGAAGTCAACATTTTCTTTGGGCATATATAATACGTGGAATGTTAATTCTCGTTATATTAGATGTAGGGATTGGGAAGTTTTTCTGTAATCTTGCTCTGCTCCGAAAAATTTAAATTCCCCGGGAGTGTTCCCTGGGGTAAAAGACGGGGCTTTAAACAGGAGTTCCCTCGGGAGGTGTCGGATTCACACTGTAGCCCGAAGCTCGGAGGGCTTGATTTACCTCATGTCTTAGTGAATCACCTTGCGAACCTCCAAGAGTTATACGCCTTGACTTGTCGCGTCGTTTACTTTCAAATTCTTTCCTTACAGGCGTCAATGCTTGGTAGTTCGTGTTGAACAGATCGCTAACCTTACGTAACTCTTGGGCTATCTTGACCGCCTCTCGTGTGAGGGGCTCCGAATGAGATCGCGACCGTCTGCCTTCGTCCACTTGTAGATACTGTAATCTTTCGTCCAGAAAAGACGGCACAGACCTGTTATGACCAAGCGGTCTAGGAACATTGAAGTTGAAATGCAAATCGTCATTGTCATTTTCTGTGTTTTTCGCCGTTTGTTTTTCTCCCTCAAGAACTGACCTTGGTTCATTATTATCAGGTGACTGGGCGCTAATTTCCAGATGGAACATTTTCAGCGAACGCACCCCGCTATTAACGTCTTTATCGCAGTTGTCTGTCTGAGTTAGGTTTCTGATCAGCTAAAATGGATGTATTAACTTCACCTTGGGCAATCTGACGCAGAATTTAGCAAATGCTGCCTGCAAATCAAGCATTGTTGTAAGCTGATTAGTGGGCCAAAATACAAAATAGGCCAATACGCGTAGCGGGGCCGTGAAAATTCAAACTCCGTTCTAATCATGAAATAATCATGATTTTTTTTACATATAACAGCTGCACTGAAATCAAGAAATTACCTTGAAGGTACACCAAATCGGATTTAACTATTCTTGTTCTTTTTCCAATGTTGCTTTGCACAAGATTTCTGTCACGAAAACGCATTTGTGTTCGGTTTATTTTCGTCCTCAACTTATGATTACTTCAGTAGCCAATCAGAGAAGAACAACTAACAGGTTTAAGAAAGTTAATGACGGTCATAACAATTGCCTTTGTTCTGTCTTGGCATAAAGCCAAAAATATATTTGCGGTAATTGAAAAAATGTGCAATATATGTACGAAATAGCTAAAAAATAGACAAAGCAGACAGAAAACTGAAGAATTTTCCGTAGGTGAAAAAAAAAAGTTTTTTTTAAAAAAAATAATGAGATAACCATTTCTTTCGGATAGGGGTGGTGTGGGGAGGCAACAGATCAAAGAAGTACAGTATGTAAATGTCTAGCCTGAGTGCAGGGGTCAAGTTAACCAAGTCTGACAGCAAATTAAATTCATTAAAAATAAGATAAAAGAGCACAAAACATAAAAGAAAACATCAAAATTCGGCCTGAGGGCCTGTGAAGTCTACCGGCTGGTAATCTGCGATCCGGCGGTCCTTTGTGGCAGGAATAACTTTTGGTGATATGAAACGATAAAAGTAACTCTTGCCCACTGGAAATCGCCTTTTTGCCTGCTCAAATTTATGACAAAGTCTATTAAAAATTAAAAAAAAAAGTCTAGGGAGTGAACACGGCGAAATTGCGTAGAGCCAAAAATTCTTCGGCTACTGTTTTCACGATTGAGTATTACTATTTTGTTTTAGATATTGTTCAACGTCTAAAAACTGCTGAACAGACACAAAATTACGCGTTGGTTGGTTTCCGCTGGCTAACGGAAATTACGCTCGGCCGCAACTCATGTGCATAGCTTTGGCACGTAGGGTATACGTAAGCACTTAAGGTCGTACAAACAACAATGTTTGTGCGTCACAAAATCTTTACCCGCAAAACCAAAGAGCCTTTATGTATCCGCGTTACGTGATTCGTTGCGTGATAAGGTAGGAGCCTGTTACCGGGTTACCCATAATTTTCAAAAGTCGTGCACTCCAACCTGGAAAATGCTAATCAAAACCTTTCTCGCGAATCTGATTACCGTGCCGACATTAAAATGTCTTTAATTTGATAACCATGCATGAAACACTCTGACCTTCTCGTAAATACCCTATTTACACAAGAAATTTTTTATCGCCTTCTACTTTCTTCGTTCTTGTCATCAACATCATCTTCAATCGTCATTTTATTATCAACATCATCTTCAATCATCATTTCATCATCATCATCATCTTCGTCATCCTTTCGTCTCTGCAGTAACTAAGGAAGTATTTAATAGGTTGCACAATGAGATGAAAACTTCCGACCACAAGAACCTAGTTGTTTGCACGTTTAAAGTATTGGGGAAAAATAACACGCGTCACTGGACAACGAAGTACAACAAAACCACTGAGAACAGCCAACCCACCTGAAGTCATGCACAAGGAACTGAGTACCGATTTGCTTACATACAATAAAATTTAATTCGTATTTGTTTTATTACGATATTTAAGCCCAGTGTGGACTTAAGAAAACAACGTTCTACGTCTGATGTTTATGTTGATGTGCAGAGAAGTGCCCATGACATTAAAAAAGAATTCAGTGCAGGTCAGCCAATATTTAATTTTTCGTCGTCGAAGACTTTCTCGTATAAGTGTTCCAAAATCGCAAAAGTCCCGCCAATATTTATTAAAGGGGGAATTATGGTGGAAGTTTTTTCAAATAAAAGCGCCTGTTAAACGGGAAAAGAAAGAAAGAAAGAAACTCAGAAAAAAAGCTTGAAAAACCAGTCCGCATACTAAGCCATTCAGGCTGTTGGCTGTCTTAGGGGCACCTTAGTATTGTTATGGTGGACCATGTGGACCTCATGGCTAAACATGCTGAAAAAAGATCATCCAAAATTCTCCGATACTTATTGTGCCAGGGGCTCTAACCTACCTTAAACTTTTTTGTATTAAAAGAAATCTCTTAGAGAAACTCCCAAAATGTATCGGAAGTACAACAAGGCATTTGACCGCAGTACAGTACCCCCCTACATTGTAGCCTGAGTATCAGGCCTTCCTAAAGGGCAAAGGGAGAGGAGATTTTAGATGGGAGAGGGGGATTATCTTGAGTCTCCACACATAGTCGATGCGTGGCTCCCTGCACGGGTGGGTTCCCAAGGGAGATGAGTAGGAGATTTACTTTGTCAGCGGTTATACAAAGGAAAAACAAGACCACACCAAAATGGCGGTCTTCGATGTAATTTTGAACGACAAGATTACTGATTTGAAAGACCTGCTGCGCTCCGATCCAAAGTGTGCTAACTCTGTAGGATGGCACGGCCTCACTCCTCTGCATCAAGCAACTTTGAGAAGTAACCAAGAAATTGTGGATTTGTTGCTGGATCACGGTGCTAACGTGAACCAAGCAAACGCATACGGCGAGACTCCTCTCCACTTCGCTTGTCAAGCGGCTTCTTTACACTGCGTAAACAAGTTCATCGAGAACGGAGCAGATCTAAGAGCGGAAGATGGAGGTGGGAGAACTTGTATTCATCATGCTGCTAGGAGTGGGTCTGTGTAAGTGTGAGTTGACTTTTGGTTGAAAATGACACCCATTCACAACATATACTGCTGTGTAGTATTAAAATTCCATTACTCCACAATATTCGACTGTTGTAGAGTACTAGAGTTCACTGTGATTTTTGACATCGACGTGTTTTTTGCCGCAGATTTCATTTCAGAGTCAAAAAGCAAGATCTTCAGATATGTTTGATAAAAGTTTCAAAGTACAGGCAAAGCAAATGCTGTTGTTGACGTTACAAAGCAATTACACTTCCCGTATCACCCAGTCAATATCTACCACTAAAACTTTATGGATTAAGTAAAAGTATACAAGGGACAGGGGACACTTCATGTGGCCCTCTCAGTGTCTGCATTAAGGGGTCTTGAAGGTTCTGCAATATAACTGTTATCTTTTAACAAGTATATGTTTTTATTTTCTTGTATTTTAGACTGAAACTGCATTATTTGACAGCATGTGGTCTGAGTTTGAAGAAAAGAGATAAAAGGTATTCAAATTGTCAATAGATTTTACTCCCTTCTAGGATAAACGTAATGAGGTAGTTTTGCTTTCCATCTGCGATGAGACTGTGCCTCTGCTTTTATGGTTTTCTACACCACGCGTAGTAATCCGAGCCATGCGAAAGTCTATCTGTTTTCAAAGGCAAAGGCAGTACCTTCATTTCTTCAGCTATTCTAAAACCCTGAGAATTGGTCTAGCTCTGGGAATTGAACCTGCTCTGCAGTCAATCTCTTTTCTAAGTGAGCTAATCTTGTTGTGATTTAGCTAAGTTACCAGTGCATGAATCAAGAAATTCCATGCTACAGTACTGCAGTTGTTCAAAAGGCATAATGTTTTTCAGTGGATAAATCCCTATCCACTGGATAGGAAAGCCTGTGTAAAAAGTGTTTTCGTGTGGTTTTAGAGCAAAGAAAGACCAAGGAATGAAATTTTTGGCTTTTGCCATGCTAAAAAAGGAGAAACGCTTGCTACACAGGCTATTGATATGGGAATAAATATTTATATATTGTACATTTATTAGTATCCCTAATACTTATCCCCTGGATGCTGATTTATCCGTTAGATATTACTATCGAACATTTAAACAACTGGGGCCAGCACTCCAGTGATGAGGCATCATTGCAGTCTATTTAGAAACTAACCCCTTGATGTATTTGTGTACACAGGGGACTCACAGCACTTCACATTGCAGCTGAACATGGTCAACTTGATGCCTGTGAATACCTTCTACGTCACAAGGTAACAACCAAGGCCCCGTCCACAGGAATCCAACTATTTTTTAAATGTAGTTGAATGAAATTTAACACAGTTAACAACATGGAGTGCGGACACACATTGTTGGTCAGTCGTCAGTGCAGTGGCTCAAGGGTGATCAGCCTTGCTTGTGTCATCTCCATGTGCTTAGTACAGCGTTTGCTGGCAGCTGCTCCACTGATAAATCAGTGTGACAGGTGCCTGGTTCGATTGGCGTGGGGGTTCATGGCTGGAAGGTGCAGGTTTACCAGCCATGGGGTTGTAAGTCAGTCTAGGGGCTGGCTGTGCCAAAAGTGGAAGCCTCTGGACATCCCGGATACCCACTTCCACTAAGTGACACAGTTGTTAAACTACATTATTTTCTTTACACAGATTGGCCTTCCATCCACACGAAACCAGCGAATCTGTTCATTCTTTTGATGGGACCTAATATTTTTATTGTAATATTTGTTGTAACTCATGAATTAGTTTCCTCATGTGTAGACGTATTAAGATATTATGTTGTTCCACTCATGACAGCTCTAATATGGGAAAATTGTAAGCAAACGTTTTTTTGTTTGCACCTTTTCTTGCAGCGGTTTCCTCCTGATGTTCGAGATAGTGCAAACACAACACCACTGCACTTAGCTGCCAAGTATGCTCACTGGTGAGTTTGCACTGTACTCTGAATGAATTTAATATGGGTTTAAAACAGTTTAAGCCCCAATATCCATGTACAATTTCTGTGGACTGATTTCCATCCTTTTCTTGATAAAGAAATATTTGAGAGAATTTGATAAAAGATCCAAGCATTTTTTCTTTGATGATCATTTTTTTAGTAATCCCCATAATCTTTTCTATGATGTATGGATATTGTTAGGGGAATTTTTTCATCACTCTTAGGACAAAGAGAGTTACAGTTTGACTACTATAACCGGGGCCACCTAGACAAAGTTAACCAATCGGATTACAGGAAAATAACAATACGTTCCAGGAAAGTTAGTCGTAAGTTACCATGAAACGAAATAAACAACACGGATCAAAATCAACTAATCACAACATACAGACATGACCTTTTGAACCTGCTGAAGAAAGCCAGTGTTTCCTGACAGGTCTGTTAGAGTGAGTGAATGCATTGTTATTTTCCTGTAATCCGATCTGAGTGGCACAGTAGTTGCACTGTAACTCTTATACTCCTTAAATTAAAGTGATTAAACAGCAAATTAGAAGCAAGCAAGGTTTTAAGCATCAGCCCATAAATACTTAGCCTATTGGTAGATCAGTACTGCATGAGAGGACCTCTTGTGGTATTTGAACATGCCATGCCACACATGACTTTCCACAGTTATACTCTACAATGTGCCAATAATTTCTGATTATTCTGATTTTCTGCAGTGAAGTAGCCTGGGCTCTGGAAAGTAAAAGCAAATTATCAATGATTAATGAGGAAGATGTGATGAGAAAAACACCTATGGATTACGCTGGTGAAGGACAAACTCCAAGGTACTGCATAAAGCCTTAGCCCTTTAGGTCCCAAGAGTGTCCAACATCAATTTTCTCCTAACAACATCAGCAGATCAACAAGAGTAAAGGTTATGAGAATTACTAAATTGATGACCAAAGGGAGAGTACTTTGATCTTAAACCAAATTCTCTCAACTATTCTTAAAAGAAATGTATGGAGATCGGTCTGGAGAATTTGTATGTGGATCTTGTGGCTTAAAGGGTTAAACAATCTTGTTCATGTTCTATTATTGTGGTAATAATAAATAGTATGGTCCCAGTTGTAGTAATAGGCTATTTCCGAGTTCCACAAACCCTCGCTTTCAAAACAAGGCTAAGCACAAAACCTTACTTGTGAAAATGAGTTTCATTTGTAAACATGATAATTAAAAATCGGGCTGCAGGGGCGTAGCCAGCCCATAGACCTGTGGCCCTGGGCCTACAAATTTTTGGTTGAAAAGCTTAAGAGGTCAAGGTGTTGGTGCAGTCAGACTAGTTGTGCATACAATTCTCAGGATATGTGGAAAAAAAGGCAGCCAGGCCTACAAATAGTTGCAGAGCTGGCTATTCCCCTGGCCTATTATAGCTCCCAACTTTTGGGTGGCTGGGTAACCTTAGGGTGCTTTCCATTTGTCAGAATTGCCCGGCCAGCACATTCCCATCGTAATGAGAATTTCTCTCTTAATCAAAACTAACCATCCAGATCAGTTAAGTCCTAAATATTATACACAAAAGGAGATGGTTTTTCAGCAAAACCTCTTGGAAAAAGCCTATTTCATTGCCAAAATGTCTGGTCCAGCCATGGTCTGGCTGGCCAGTTCTGACTTTTGGAAAGCGCCCTTAGTATCACACTTTCGCAGCATCATAGGTTGCATGAAGAAAGGTTACCTGTGAATAATATACTGCTTTTCTTTTTATTTTGTGACGACAGACACTTGTGGCTTAAGAGACACCTGAAATACTGGCAGGCCAGTCGCTGTCCCCCGACACAACCACCTTACCCATGGATGCCGTGGTTACTATTACTCCTGTCTCCATCCTTTGGAATTCTCCTCATTGTTGAAGCATTCAATCAACTTTCAAGGCTGTTTGCAACATTAGCAACAATATCTATTATAATATTCTTCAATGTATGCTCCTTCTCCAAGCACAGGATGCAGCATATTTCTGGGTTACAGAGTCCGGCTTTGCTTGGATACTTCTTTGGACTTATCATACAAAGTCTGCTGTGGTATTTTATATATTTGACACCTCATATCCTTTGAAATAGTCACTTCTTATCTTGTAAATCCACATGATTACTCCTTATCCTTAGTAAGGATGCTAGACTAAGGCTTGCAGGCTGTTCTCAAGCATCCTACCTCGCCTTTCCTCTTAGTCTGCTACACAGCCGTTTTTAGTGTCGTCACACAATGCTCCTCCCCAGTGTTGCGTGAGAACACTAAAAATGGCTGTGCAGCAGACTACTTTCCTCTTTGTGCTTCGTGTTACATAAGGCCTTCTGGTTTCTGTAATACATGAGAACCTCGCAGAAGCGTCCACCCATAATGGGAAGAGTTTATGGTCACTTCTGGGAGGTGGTCTCTTTCAAGAATCGGTCTACAGGAGATCCCTTCCTTGTCATGGTTTTGGAAGCCATCTTGACGAATAGGCTACTGCGTGAGAAATTAAAGTGTTTGGATGAGAATCTTATGTTGAATAATTTCCGTGAAACAGCTGTTCTGAAAAAAAAATGAATAATTTGTAAGCTTAAGCTACTAAGCAAAGGATTCCACAAACAAATTTTTGGGGCCGTAACTGTGCTTAAATTTCTCCAGATGCCTGCTTTAGATTTTCCATATATTTGTCTGCAATTTTTCCCAGGAAATTTTAGTCAGCAGGAAAAAAAATTTTACAGACAAATGTATCGAAAATTTTAAAAAGTGGTTCTAGCACGTGTAGCTGCATTTAACGCCCTCAAATTTTTTCAGTAGGATAGTTAGTAGTGAAGCTTTAGTTTACAATTCATATTTTTTTCAGAACAGCCGTTTTACAGAAATTATTCGATATTAGATTCTCATACAAACACTGTGATTTCTCACGCGGCTGCCTACTCATCAAGACGACTTCCAAAAAGCGAAACGACTTTACAACTTTGTAGCGAATCGACTTCATTATGCAGCGGAACGACGTGACTTTGTATCGAAACGACTATACTCGGGCGGTGCACTCATTTTACGCCGCCCTCTCTTCATCAGTGCTCCCTTTTATGGGTATTTAAAGCTACTTTAAGCTATAATGAAAAGGGGGAAGTCAAAACAGGGATTTGAGGTCATACCTGGGAATCAGACCAAGGCCTTCAATCAGAAAGAATGACACAGTTCGGGATGGCGTCAGCTTCTCTATCTTCCTTCAGTGACCAATCTACCCCATCAGCTCAGTTGATAAAACCAAATCTTTGGTAAAAAAAAAAAAAACACAAAAACGTCAACCTTCCATTGACGCGATGCAAATCTTCTTCGGAGGTACTGGGAGTCTGTCAAAGTGGACTGTAAGTCCAAAAGAATTCGACAGGATTTGTTTCTTGATTTATTACTTTGTAAACATGTGTCCTTAACATGTATCACAGCTTTGGCCAGATTTTCTCTGGACCTTAGCCGCTGTTCTTCTATTAGCAATAACCCTCATAACATTAAAGTAAGTTGAATGATAGATTATGGAAAATTGGACACTGGTTCAATTTTCTTTACGTCACTGATTTGTGAGGTCTGTGAAATTTGCAATATTCACATAACAATTTATCACGTTAGGCTCCGACTCTTACACATGATTTTATACTTATTTATTTGCTGATCTCGACCTTGATGCTACTGTACTCTTTAAGCTTGCCAAATCCCACAAGCTTTGAGCATTAATTCTTACTGTGTCAAAATAACTGTTACCTGCTTGCTTATGTACTTTTTTTTACTTACTTACTTATTTATTAACTTACTTAAGGTGGATTTTCACTATCGCGCAATTTTTCCGTGCGAACGCGCGTAAATACGGTACAGGCAATGTATGGAAGGTCACTCGTAACCGTAAAAGTTGAACCTGGCTCCACTTTTACGTTTGCGCGTGGCCTTTCGTATTTATTTTACAGTGAGAGGAGTTCTGTACATAAAACAAAGTGTGTTGTTCACGTTTCCCCAGCAAGGAAGTTCTAACGTACTTTTTTTTCTTTAAATTTCCTTTCGCGCAGAAAGCTTTTCTCTGATCCGGGTGTGGTGAAGTACAACAAAATCTCCAACACTGGTGAAACAATGGTAAGACTAAGCTCTACCTAGTGCGTGTCTAAAACACGAGCAGTATAGTGTTTCGTAGTAAATAACAAAGGCCTATCTGCCTCCCGGTCGTTTCGCCCGAAAGTCGATTCAGTCGCCCGAAGTTGTTTCGCCCGGACTTAAGCCGATTCGCCCGATGGTTATTTGTCGTTTATTCGACTTTTGGGCGAAACGACCAGTTGTTCAAAGGGAGGAAAGTGCTATCACCTAGTCAAATCACTATCTAGAGGATAACTCATTTTATGTTCCCAATCCTTATCCACTGTATAGCGATTTATCTGGTGATTATTGCTATCCAACCTGACAAAGTCGATCTAGAATTTTATTGACCGGCTATGTAGATCGGTTCATCTTTTCACTAATCCTTACGGAATTCAAAGGTACTTGGCTTGAAAACGGAAGAAATAGTCACCAAAAAAGGGGATCATTATATAGTAGAAAACTACCATTTGTCCATTTATGCCGTTCTTGAATGATAGTGCCTTAGTGGTTAAGCTGAGAAACATTCATGCGAAAACCTTGTTTCCTTCTCTCTGCGTACACTTGGAAACTAATTTCCGAAAGAAATTTGCGCTGGAGAAGCAAGAATGATATTAACCAGATACAATAGCACATCTTGACTTCCCCAACATTTTCTTTTCGTGCGGCAGGTTATAAACATTTGCGTGAATGTCGTTACCACTCGTTGCGGACAATCGTGCGTGCGCGCGTTTCGCTCATACTATCTTAGGGGAGCTTTTTTTGTTACTTTGATTTTCTGCTTGTGTTGCGGAAACTATTGTTGGTTACCTTTTTTGTTATAACGTTCACTGTCTTGTCAGTCTTTTGCATCATATCTTTTCGTAATAATTCTTTTTTTCTTCTGTTTTCGTTGCACTTTTTTCCAGAGCATTCTAGATGTAGCAAAAGGAGTTGTACCCGAAGGAGACTTCTGTGAAGTGTGTGAGGTAGGCTATTTTAACTTTTCTTTTACTCTTAATTAGCAGACAGCACCAATTTCTCTTGAGTGTCGAAAGTAATTACGTAACTGCGTTGGTTTTTCGTTGCCATACTGTTGGATGTGAACAGCAAAATATAAACAGTACCACTGCTCAGTAGCTTTCATTTGAATGATTACATTTTAGGATTTCATCCACAGACTTGCTAGAACCACCTTGTACGAATAATAAACAGTACCACAGGAAAGTACTGCTCAGTAGCTTTCATTTGAATGGTCACACTTTAGGATTTCATCCAAATAGTCAAAAGTTAGAACCACCTTGTACAGCATAATAAACAGTACCGCCTAAAAAAGTACTGCTGAGTAGCTTTCATTTAATAGGCCACACCATAGGATTTCTTCCACGAACTCAAAAGACAGACTTACAATGTCTCTGTATTTGACTTCAGGGATTAAAACATTGATTCTTCTTTCAGATTGTGCAGCCTGAGCTGACCAAACACTGTCGCCTCTGCGATGCATGCGTGCTTAGTTTGGATCACCACTGTTTGTTTTTGACGCGTTGTGTGGCAGTAAACAACCACAGGGCTTTCGTTTTCTTCATGTTTGAAGCAATGCTGGCCAATCTTTTGTATGTAAGAGCAGCGATTACTTGTGAGTATTAAACACTTCTTTTAGATGCTTCTTTATTCAGTGTTACGCTTATGCGGAAATCTTGTAACCTGCGAGTACAACCGTTTGTCCTCGCTCTTCGCCGCTCAGTTTTCTTGGCGGTAAAAAGGATAATATATAGATTTAGCCAGAGCTAAAAGCGAAGCTCTTGATAATATTTATAGTTCGTTGAAACATAATATAAAATCGTGTAATGCTAAGCGGCGAAGGCTACGGCGGAGAATGGTGAAAAACAACAATAGGTCTAATTAGCAAAAAAACAACTTTGCACGTGCAGCACACCTTTTTGTACATTTCTATGCCGTTGTTTTGCACGACTACAACGTGAAACTTCCAGAAACTTCTTAGATACACTTTTAATGGAGGAAATGTCGTACGTGTTCTCGTTCACTTTTTTCACTGCCGCTCGTTTTCACCCTGCATTTAATTGGTGGCCGCTAGCATTTCTCATTTTGTCACCGCCGCTACAAAATCTTCATGTTTTTCTTCCAACAAAAAAATGTCTCCTTTTATCTCTCGCTCCAGATCTCTGTCGCCCTTTTTCTTGTTGAGCTTCGCTGGCCTGCCGCCTTCTTTCTCTTTTTCTCTGTATTTTTCTTGCTCTATATTCCAAATTTGTGGACATGGCAATTAATCTAAGCTTAATACTTTAGACAACACGGATACAGAAACAATCTCCGCTTTCCGTTTTGGTCTTTATTATTGACTCTTTAGCCGATGGCTATGCGATTTCCCGCCAAAATGACCTCGAGTTGCATTTTGGTTACCATACCTGTTGATTGACTTATTTTACATAGCTTTGCCTGTGGTGCGGACTGACGGTCGGTTGAGCGCACCGTCACGTGATTACCAAATTTTCACGGATGGTTAGATTACTTTTTTTCTTACCCATGTTGCTCCGCTGCATGAGCTTCGCGCGCGAGAGCTCCGCTATGAAAATCTAAAGTTGTAGGTCTTAATTGTATTACTGTTGGAATCGTCCTAATGGTCGTCATGCTTTGCATCAAATTGTCTCATCCATCTTAACATATTTTGAGACGATCCGAAAATGCGAAATCCGAAAATTTTTAAACCCACGTGCAAAAAATAAAGTGTTACTGTATTGTCAAACTGAATACTCTTTCAAAGTTGCTGTTTGGTTCGCTTACTGAAGCTTCAATGCTCTTGCGACAATGCTGTTTTACTAATCAAATTAATCGTTCTCACTAAAAGTGTCTTTCTACTTCCAGACTTCAACCTGCAAGTCTTTATAGGAGAGGCTTCTTCTTTTACTGTAAGTTAACACCAGGACACCCCCTGGTTAGCACTAACATCTCCTTTAGGGCAAAATATTGTGTAAAGGGGGGCGAGTAGGTTGGTAGTTTCCTGGAATGTGCTAAAGTGCTAAATACTTACAATTTTTGGAGCGGTGATTCTTGATTAGAAAGACCTTAGGTTTAGGAGATTATCCTACAATCAATAAATAAGCAAAAGAGAAAAGCTTTGTGTTCAAGACCATGAAAAACAAACCACAATTCACGTTACAGAGGTGAAAATTTAGCATTTTTGCTTAATTTCCACTTTTTTCTCCCACTTCTCACCCTCTTTTTTTCTTTCCTCTCCCGCGTTCCATAACCCTTCCATCCCTATTCTCCTGTTCTTCCACCCCGCTCCTGTCCCCCCCCCCCCCCTCTGATTAAAACAGTTTAGAAATGTTATGTAATGAGCCCGCCTTACCTTAACTCTTTTTCTTTCAGGAAGCCATGGGCCGTGATGTCTATGTGTCAGTTCTTTTTATCATCAACTGCCTTGGATTAGTCTATGTATTATTTGTAAGATAAGTTTTATTGTTTATGCACGCATTAAACGCATTTGCCTTTCATGACAAACGGTATTGCGCAATTTTAACGCACTCTTCCAAATAACAAGAGATCTGGGCCAAGTTGCATAAAAGCTTTTTAGATAAGAGGGCTCTTAACTTTTGTTCTGGAACAATAACCTACCGTAAAATTCCGAAAATAAGCCGCCTCCGTGTATAAGCCCCTCAGGGGCTTGTACTTGGAAAATTGCCCTCAAATACAAAGTAAAAGATAACAGAAACGGTAAATTTACTTCCAACTATAAGGCTAGCCCAATCGATTTTGAAACGCAAATTTCCCTCCGTAGATAAGCCCCTCTGAATATAAGCCCCTCCAAAAATAAGCCCCTCAAAAAGGGCCTTTAAAAAATATAAGCCTCGGGGCTTATTTTCGGAATTTTACGGTATTCTTTTGAAATAATAGTGACGAGTTCCCTTAATCTTAAGATGCTTTTTGAAACCCTACCCTGGGCCTCAGTTGTAGCGCTATCCACCGGATAAATCACTATCCAGGGAATAAATATTAGGGAAAACAATTACGTTATCCACTGGATAGAGATTTATCCGTGTGATAACGTTATCCACCATTTAAACAATTGGCGCCTGGAACAATATAAAAATGGTGAGTCTCCATCGCCACGCGCTCGGTGGGGTGAGGCTACTTTCAAGGGTGTTGTAGTAGTTTGGTCCGAGACTATGTATATCAGCGGGGTCATCACTCGCTGTTGAGGATACTGACATACTTTTTAGTGATGCTTTACAAATTCCTGCTTGAAAAAAAAAACGTAACATCCAAATGGTTTGAAGTCTTTAAACGTCGTTGACGTTATCCTGAATTTTGGTCACCTTATTGATGTGCTCCATTTTGATGTACTCGAGAAAGACCCTGCATGAATCGCGCATGATCTTTGTTGAGCATGCGCTTCTTGGTGCTGGGATACAGTTTCGAACCCAGGCCGAACAGCTTTGCCGTTGGTACAACGGGCTCAGTTGTGACCAGCGGTTTATCAAAAAATGGATGCTCGCATCCTGAAAACCGGTAAAACGATAGAGAACTTCGGGCTTTGGCGACTTCAACGGCTCGACGCGATTCAAACAGAGCCTCCTTTTCTTCTTCTTCTGACTTAGTTGATGTCACACGGAACGATTTGCAACGACGATTTTTAGCGGAACACAGCGTGGCAATGTTGGAACAATGTTGCAGCTATTCGAAACAATGTTGCAACGCTGTGTTGCGCTAAAAATCGTCGTTGCGAGTCGTTCCGTGTAACATCACTTTTGACCCTTTAAGCCCTAAGATTGATCAGCATCAAATTTCTCCTTGTAATATCAATGCTTTGGAAAACAGAGTGGTCATGAGAATTACGGACATGATCAAACAAGATGAATTTACCTGATATTAATTTTTATCAACTTCTATAGGAAATTAATTGGGACATCAAAAGAGAATTCAAATGTTGATCTTAGGATTTAAAGAGTTAAGAAGACAAAAGGAGGCTTTACTCGCAGGGAACTGCGAAACTACACCCACTACTTAGCGGGGGCAGGAGCTTTGACTAAAATCAGTTTACTCATCACTTTGCATTTTTTTTTTCAACTTTTCAGTTAACCATTTTTCAGTTCAAAGTTATAACCGATGGTGGAACGACTTACTATTCCTCAGACGGCCAAGCAAGTCATAGGTGAGTTTTCTTAGAAAATGTTCCTTCGTGAAAAAGAGATTCCCACTTTTGAGTGGTTGAAAGTTTATTGGGGCGAGAGAATTCGTTTGAGCAAGCTGTCCTGGGGAATCAGTGGGGTAGGAAGAGTTGGAAAGGCCTGGGGCCCGTTTCTCGAAAGTCCGCCGGACAGATAATTAACTGGCCGTCTCGGAAAGCTGTTTTTGTTTACACACCAAGAGCGAGGTTTCAATTGTTTTGCAGATAATATGATAAAACTATCAGTTAACAAAACAAAATGGACTAGTTTCTTAGCTAGGAACGGCGTTTGTTTTCTTTAGATTTGATTTGAATACTTGATTTTGGATCTGAAACGTTACGGGCACTTTCGAGAAACGGGCCCCAGGAGTGGGTTCCCCGCCGTCCCCACCCACTCCGCCTTGGGAAAAAAGAGTGGAAACTCTTCGGTTGTGTGGCAACGTTTGTTTTGTACCCGTTTCACAGTTGGTCATAAACTGAGATCAGGCCCAATTTTAGCATCTTCCATACATTCTCTCTTTTGCCTTTCCCACCAGAATTTTATTTCAAAGCGAAACGAAAATGGATCCTGATTTCAGGTTAAGCTGGTCATAACTCCATCTTATTGTCATGAAACACTGCTCCCATATCTTGACGTAATAGCACACTTTGGCATATTTTAAGGTTGTATGTGCAACAACGGAAGCGTAAATTTAATGGTACAGTTTTTGTACAGGTAACTTATACAAGATTTATAGCTTGTTGCGGCTATCTATCTTTTTTTTTTGAAGAGAAGAAACCGGGTTTCAACTTCAAAAAGTTACGCTAACTTTAAGTGATGTGCCGACTGCTTTTCCTATATTTCAATTGCGTAGATAATGTACAAGAAGAAATGTGATATTGATCTTATTTCCTTCCGCAGAACCTGGAAAGACCTTTATAAATTTACGGGAGTACCGTGGTCTCAAAGACTAAAGATATTTTCGCAGTTTCTACTAGGAGAATACTCGTTTTTCAGAAAGATCAAGATGAAACGTGCCGACACATTCGTTTAGGATCGTGAAACCTTCTTGAAAAGACTTCTTATGCATTTAGCTTTTTCAGTGTTCAATAGTTGACGTTGATGCGAGGAAAGGTGAAACGAGTTGGAAAAGCGGAGGGTGCAGAACGCTGTACAAGAAACAAAGTTCAACGTTGTCTCACCTAAGTTTATAAACAGGCACTGGTTGAGCCAGGAGACGAATTATTATAATATCCGTCTCTGACGGATAATTCAGCATTTCTGAGACGCGTTATCTACCTCTAGAATGTCCAAGTACCTTGATGTCTGTTGGGGCTGATCTCGCGATGTATATAATCAGTATCGTACACACGACAGGTTATTCAGACACTATGATTTGATCGGGAAAAGAAACTTTTCTAGATGGTCCACGAAAAAGGATGGACGGTTAAAGAAAGAGTATAGATTTAAGAAGTGTACTTTTACTATAGTTATCAGTTAGGGGCCTTAAATTGATATCTGTACTTGGTCAAACGATTCATTGCCAGGCGATAATGTCAGAGGTGTTATCCACTAGATAAAAAAGATTTGAAATAAAGTTGGTGATTTGTTTTGTACGAGGTTTAGCGGGTGTATGATGGCTTCAGAGTGTCAAAACTGTTTTCTAAATTAAACGTAAGTCAAAAGCAAACAAAAACGCAATCTATTACATTTATAAAAGGTAGGACAGTATATAATAAGCTTAAGTTGATAAGAAAACTTGTTATAGAAGTAGTACTTAAGGAGCTTACAAATCATTCATGGTGTACTAAAGGATTGCTGTCTCTTTGTTTTCATTTGGTTTTCCATAGTTACTGCGTATAACGTGCAAAAAAGGAACCGCTCAAAACGTTGCTTCTAGTAGTAAATTCAAGTTTAGTTTCAAGACTCTTGGCGTTTGTTGTTGCGGTGTATTTTTTGCCTCATCCAAGCTCTCCTAAGGCTTAGTGGAGAGCAGAAACTTTTAACGCGGGGTGCTGGAGACGAGCGAGATGCGCGAGCTTAGGATGATGGGAACGAACCCAAAGCACGAGCAGGGGATGATGGGAAATAAAGCCTGCGAGATCAGTCGCGAGATCATGTATCGCTTTTTCCCCCTTACCATCACTCCCTTCGCCCCCGCTTTCCTTATTGATTAACTCAAATACTCGCCCCGCCCCACCCCCCAACCCCAAACAGAAAAAAAGTGATTGCGAGCGACTGGGGACGAGGCAGGTATATTCTGGACTCTAACTGCAAGAAAAGTGTATGGAGCCCGTGTCTCTAAAGTCCGATGTTTTGAACATATTTTGTTCAGCCCCGAAGTCGGAGCTTCAAACAAAAATATCGGGAATTAACGATAATGACATTTTGAAATTATTGGACGGTTGAGGCTGAGTATGACCTGAATAATTATACAGTTCGAGGAGGGTGTTATCGCCGAGGCTGAAGACTGGGGCGGAAAACACCTTTCGATATCTTCATAATTTTTCAGATTATACGAGAGGCGAATGCATTATTATCTTTTATTCAAAATAGATAATTCATACCTTTGAGAGATGCTTACCTCGAACAATATTAGTTCCCATCTTTATTTGCTTGTTCCTCAGCAAATTCAGGATTTGTCATCCGTCGAGTTGTATTCTTTTCCGCCATTTTCTTCAGCTCTACCAAAAAAGCTGAGCTAACGCAACTTCGTTCCCGGGATTTCTCTTTCGCCGTCCCTTTTTCTGACCATATCCTGTTCTTTTGATGTCATTTTTCTGTATGTTGCAAACGTCTTTCAAGTTTGGTGAACGCTTGCTAGTTATGAGCGATTAATTAGTCAAGAGACTTTGAGCCAACCAGAAACAAAGAAATATTTTGATTGAATAATTAATATTTTTTGACATGATCTTCTTTTCGCCGTAAGGATCAGTTTGCTACTGTGTTTCTTGATATAAGCCTTAGACGTACAGCAGTCATAGACACTGAATGAAAGCCCTCCTTTAATAAACACTACGCCCGAACATACTCCATGTTCAAACATACGTCGGATCCACCAAACTACAATTAGTCCAGCCATATGGTGTAAAAAAATAGCTGAATTGTGCACTTTGGGGAAAAAGCATCAAACTCGGCACAGTGATAGTACTAGTTGCACTAATTATTTTTAGCTATGGACTCCACTCAAATATGCACGGGGGGAAGCACATTGTGCCCTTGGGGGGGAGGGGTCATGGCCTTTTTGTTTTGGTCCGGAAAAGACTCAAAAACGGGAAGAAAGCGGCCTAAAAAACTTTTACATTCCCATTTTCTTCAAAGTAGTGCAAGGTAACCCTATAAAATACCTGTTACTTACTTTTCTGAGAGATTTTCTAAAATTATTTTAAAAGAGTGTGTAAGTGATTCTTGCCACAAGGGAAAGCCACGTAGAAGCAAGTTGAGTTCTGAAGGGCGGAATTAATTTGAGTTAAAGCATTACAATATTATACATGCACCCCCTGCCACATCAAAACAGTTCATTAATATTTTTGAGACACCTCCTGATGGAACAAACAAGACTGCATACGGAAGAAACAAAAGGTCAGGCTACTCAAGGAATGCATGGCGGACAGGAATGGCTGGTCTTTTTGCTCTCTCGTTTGTGAAAGACAGTATGCCGTTTTTCACCCTTGGAAAGATAAGATTTTCATTTTTACACTTTGATTGAAGTGAATTGCACTTTTTGGGAATTTAATTGCTCAGCCAAACAACCGCAAAAATAAAACATGAGACACTTACAGAGACCTTCAACGACATGCAACGGGGAGTTATTAACAACTTTTATTGCGGGCGACAAGAGTAGCCCGCAGTTTTCTTCTTCAGGTTATTATTATGCATGCATCGCAGGTATGTAGCCGGCATTCGCATGTGGATCTTCTCTGGTCACTTAGAATCTGATCACACGTGTTTGGAACATCTATCAAGTGAAACTTGTGCGAAGGACAGCGTTGGAGTAACAGCGTTTTCATCTTCCATCGTTGTCGCCCTCACTCCGTAACCTTTGGTTTTCTCTTGTTTTCAATAATATATTGATCTCTGTCACACTCTATTGTCATCTTTACAATTATCAAAAATAAAAGCGCCGAGTTGAGGAGAAAAGGATATCTAACATCAGACGTCTGATAACAGTTATATGACAGCAGACGTCTGATAACAGTTATATGATGTCAGACGTCTGATAACAGTTATATGACAGCAGATGTCTGCTGTTATATAACTGTTATATAACTGATGGTGATGTTATATAACAGTTATATAACTAGTTATATAACTGTTATATAACAGTATTTATTAAAAACTGAATCATTGGATAATGCAATTCTAGCATTTTCATTGGCTTAGCCGTTATGGTATATGAGCTATTATATCATGCTCTCCATATATGGTTGGTGTACGCGTCAGTTTAAAATTGGAAGCTAGCTGAGATTTTTTTTCGCGAAGGATAGAACGGCGCCCGAAGCAAATCGTTTTAATTCATTTCTTAGAATACTAGAAATGCAATTTCATTGAAAGAAAAAAGACAAAAAACAAACAAAAAAGCCACAAGAGCTTGTTTGAAACTAAAGTACCTTGACCAGCTACGAAAGAAGACAAGTGTTGTTTGGTCATGATCGCGAAGCCATTCGCCGATCGAGTCACTCGCCGATAGATAACTGCGGCTTGTTTATCCGACATCAAGAATATAAATCACAAGTAACCAGCTACAAATACAGGCTATGCAGCGATTCACTACAGCAATCGAGGCGGAAGTATAGCTTCTTTTCTCGTTCAGCAAAACCAGCTTGTGGCTTCAAAGAACTTCATAACAAGCGACCGAGGTAATAGTTTTTCTCCGTTGTTCTTACTTTTATAACTGCACCGAAAATCCAAATTCACAGTAATTTCGACGGCTGTCACTTAAAAATTCCTTTCCTTCACATTATCTGCCAGGTTTTTTTAGCTGTTCTGCTGTGTAAAATCCTAGAATCCCGATGAGTTTTTAAAAAACTAATGTTCATGGCTACAATGTTTTGACTTTTCATTCATGCAGTCCAGGCAAGTCCGCTCGCGCGTTGATAGTTTTCATAGACGTGTGACATGTGAATAGCGGAAGTTCCTTGTCTTTTCCGGTTTGTTCTAGTTGGGGACATTCAACGAGATTTTGTGGGCGTTTTTAATAAAACAGTTATTCCACTCGCGCTTGTTCGACATAAGATGATTATAGCCAACTCCGCGCTACGCGCCTCGTTGGCTATCTCCATCTCATATCCAACGCACCCTCGTGGAATAATTGTTAAATATAACTGTTATATAACAGTTATATAACAGTATATATAACTGTTATATAACAGTTATATAACACTAATATGGCAGTTATATAACTGTTATATAACAGTATATACAATTGTTATATAATAGTCATATGACACTATATATAACTGTTATATAACTGTTATATAACAGTTATATAGCTGCCATATAAGGAATAATTGTTAAATATAACTGTTAGATAACTGTTATATAACAGTTATATAACAGTCATATGACAGTATATATAACTGTTATATAACAGTTATATAACACTAATATGGCAGTTATATAACCGTTATATAACAGTATATACAACTGTTATATAATAGTCATATGACAGTATATAAAACTGTTATATAACAGTTATATATAGTGTCAAATGACTGTTATGTAACTGTTATATAACAGTTATATACTGTCATATGACTAACAGTTATATAACTGTTATATAACAACACTTATATAACATTCATATAGCACTTATATAACAGTTATATAACTGCCAAGTGTTATATAACACAGTCATATAACAGTTATATATACTGTCATATGACTGTTATATAACTATTCTGTATATGACAGTTATATAACAGTTATATATATACTGTTATATAACAGTTATATAACACTTATATGGCAGTTATATAACTGTTATATAACAGTTATATGCTGTCATATGACTGTTATATAACAGTTATATAACTGCCAAGTGTTACATAACTGTTATATAACAGTTATATATACCGTCATATGACTGTTATATAACAGGTATATACTGTCAAATGACTGTTATATAACAGTTACATACTGTCATATGACTGTCATATCACTGTTATATAACTGTTACATAACAACATTCATATAGCAGTTATATAACAAGTGTTATATAACAGTTATATATACTGTCATATGACTGTTATATAACAGTTATATCACTGTTATATAACAACAGTCATATAACAGTTATATATACTGTCATATGACTGTTATATAACTGTGATATCACTGTTATATAACTGTTCTGTACATGACAGTTATATATACTGTAATACAACAGTTACATAACACTTATATGGCAGTTAAATGACTGTTATATAACAGTTTATACAACTGTTATATAACAGTAATATGACAGTATATATAACTGTTATATATACTGTTATATGACAGTTATATCACTGTTATATAACAACAGTTATATAACAACATTTATATAGCAGTTATATAACAGTTATATATACTGTCATATGACTGTTATATAAAAGTTATATACTGTCATATGACTGTTACATAACAGTTACATACTGTCATATGACTGTTATATAACTGTTATACATCACTGTTATATAACTGTTCTGTATATGGCAGTTATATAACTGCGAAGTGTTATATAACTGTTATATAACAGTTATATATACTGTCATATGACTGTTATATAACTGTTATATATCACTGTTATATATCTGTTCTGTATATGGCAGTTATATAACACTTATATGGCAGTTATATGACTGTTATATAACAGTATATACAACTGTTATATAACAGTCATATGAGAATATTTATAACTGTTATATAACTGCTATATATACTGTTGTATAACAGTTATATAACTGCCATATGAGTGTTATATAACTGTTATATATACTGTCATATGACTGTTATATAACAGTCATATAACTGCCATATAAGTGTTATATAACTGTTATATAACAGTTATATACTGTCATATGACTGTTATATGACAGTTACTTACTGGCATATGACTGTTATATAACAGTTATATCACTGTTATATAACAACATTCATATAGCAGTTATATAACTGCCAAGTGTTATATAACAGTCATATAACAGTTATATATACTGTCATATGACTGTTATATAACTGTTCTGTATATAACAGTTATATATACTGTTATATAAGAGTTATATAACACTTATATGGCAGTTATAAAACTGTTATATAACAGTATATACAACTGTTATATAAGAGTCATATGACAGTATATATAACTGTTATATAACTGCTATATATACTGCTATATAACAGTTATATAACTGCCATATGAGTGTTATATAACTGTCATAGATACTGGCATATGACTGTTATATAACTGTTATATAAAAGTTATATCACTGTTATATAACAACATTTATATAGCAGTTATATAACAGTTATATAACTGCCAAGTGTTACATAACTGTTATATAACAGTTATATATACTGTCATATGACTGTTATATAACTGTTATATAACAGTTATATACTGTCATATGACTGTATATAACAGTTATATCACTGTTATATAACAACATTCATATAGCAGTTATATAACAGTTATATACTGTCATATGACTGTTATATAACTGCCATATAAGTGTTATATAACAGTTATATAACTATGATATATATTGTTATATAACAGTATGTAACAGTTATATAACAGTTATGTTATAACTGTTAACGTCTGTTAACTGTGATAACAGTTATATGACAGCAGACATCTGCTGTCATATAACTGTCATTACACGTCTGATGTCTGTTACAAAACGTCTGATAATAGTTGTGTGACATCAGACGGCTGATGTCATATAACTGTTATCAGACGTCTGACATCATATAACTGGTATCAGGCGTCTGATTACAGTTATGACAGTTGTTTAGAAGAACGCCACAAAAAGAAACGCTGATAGTGAACAAGCCTCACATCTCTCAGTTTTTAAAAGGTATAATTGAGATCATCCTGGACCGATGGAGCTAGTTTTGAGACACAGTCAAGCAAAATCATACAGAATCGAGCTGCTCTTTATAGCTTTTTAAACTTTGTGATTCGACGTCGCGAAGATTCTTCGTGAGAATCCACTTCAAATTTATGTAAGTCTCCTGGTGCCGATAAAATCCACCATAACCCCAGTTCTTCCTCCTGCAACTGGTTCTTTACATGGCACAGCAATCATAAGGGCTCTCGAGTGATGAAAAGTGTTATAGGATGTTGTAATTTTATTACGCAATCACAAAATGCAATCAGACATTCCCTTTCTTAGGACGAGAAAACCGGCTGGGCCACAAGGCTGCCTTATGGAGAAGCCACTGAACTTTTTACATCCCTTAGGAAACTTTGAAGGGTGTTCAAGACACTATACCCCGGTGCTTGAGAGATTTGGCATCCTAGTGTCTGACCACACAAACCGGAGTCAAAGAGTCAATGATGCCAAAAAAGTTCCGGCTATTTGCACAAAAGGGAAGAAACCTCGAGAACTTCTCCACTATATCAGCACACCAAGAGAGTTGCCTAGCAAAGATGATACCCTGGGTGCGAAACGTGACCAAAGCGTAATGCGACAATGGGCTACTGGGCATGGAAAAGCGATGCAATGCAACACAAAGAATTCTGCGGGAGCACTTCCCTTAAATATGTCCCAAAAGAATTACGCGTTGAAGAGAGAGTTGAGTTGGAATACAATGGCACGAAAGGAACTCAGAAGAAGACCGAGGAGCTTCTACTGATCTTGACAGAAATGTGATTTTAAATTTGCTGTTAAGATAAATTCGCACTGGCTCTGGAAGAGTTTTACTTATCTCCTTGTCGCATAGAGCGGTAGTTTCGTACCAATAGATTGTATTTGTCAATGAGACGATGGTTTCGAGTGCTCGTTAACACCTTTTAAGATCACCTGCCGACTTGCTGATAAGAAAAGAAGATGCCATCGTTTACTGAACTGCGAAGTGTGATCCATGATGACTGTGGTTTTCGGTTCTTTACCCCTTTGAGTAACGGGTACCCTGGGTGCGAGGGGCTTTTCATGCGCGGTTTCCGGTTTCGGTTGATGACTAAATTCGTGGATCGTGAAAAATGGTTTATAACGCATGTGATACGTGAAATTTGTCAAAATTTACACGTGAAACGGGACCGGGACACCTCTCCCCCCCGCTGGTACCCTCTTATGAATGATGTAAAGATGATCAGGTGATTAAATATCCTAAAAAAGTGCCTTAAGTCATCTAGTTTATTTCCGCAGGTTGATTAACTGATAACATAAGAAACATGCGCTTACTACACCGGGAAAAATATAGCACAAAATAAAAGTAAATCTGCCCCTGGGTCTCCGAGGATGCCCAAGTACTATTACCATGCCAAATTTGGTGCTTTTACCCCAGAGTGCACAATTTTTTCACCTTGACTATAAAATAGGAGCCCGTATCAGAGAGAAAATAGACGCTGGGTATCCTGTGGGCATTTCCTAGTGCGGGTTGTACTGCATATAACATCATTGAAAGATGCCTTATTTGGTTTCCGAACAACGCAAACAAAGATGGCGGATGATGAAGGTGGAAAAGACACTTTGAGGCAGTTCGTAGAGAATGAGTGTAAAGCCCAAGCCCTCAGAGTGAGTTGATTTTGAAATTTATTGGGTTTAAAATATTGCGTCTGTGAAATGCACTTCTATGGATGTTTTTACTATATTTGCTTAAAGGTTTTTATGTAAACGTAAACTTTTTTAGGTTTGGTTGCAATAATGTAAGATGCTTAAATTTGTTATCAGCTTTAACTGCTATGAAAAGACGATTATGTCCTGGGAAAGGGGTGGGTGCCCTTAAAGATCATGAGTAGAAGTTCTTTTTAATAAACCCTATCTAGCTATGTCTTGTTACGTGCGCATGCAAAAACACCAAACATGTATAGTTTCCCCTCCTTTTTAGCCACCCGGTACAAACTCTGATGATACAGCCTTAGATGCTGAGAGAATGAACAGATTTTACCAGCGTGCTCTGAATGAAAGTGAAAGGTATGTAGTAAACCCCAGGAGGGGTACTCCGGATTTCAATTCAAGCGATGGGATGATCGAATGGGGGCAAAAATGAAACCCAAAAAAAGTCCCGAGGACTTCCAACAAAACCCAAACAAATCCCTAGACCAAAAAATTAACCCCCCAAAAATCCCATGCTGAATTTCCGAGCCGTAACAATTTCATTAGAAATTAAATGTTTGTGTTTGTTTATTCTTCATACCATCTGAATCTTAAGATTGCTTTGAATACTCAAAAAAATTCCCTTTTTAAATCAAGCCACCCAAAAGAAAACCTTGCCAGATTTTCCTACCCCCAAAAATCTCAGAACCTAAAATTTCATAACCACTACAGGCAAAGCCTATGGCCTCTGTTCTTTGTTAAAACATTGTGTTTAATATTCGTTGCCAATTATCTGTGTTTGGGTCTTCGAAAATGTCCTATACCTAAGACCTTACTTAGGCACAAAGGATACTTCCCTTATCTGCAGCCTGGTTGACATCCACAGACTTAATTAATCTTAGATAGATCCAATTAGACTTTAGGAAGACCCATGAAAGGCAGCCCTGTATTATAAAAATGGCTGTTGTAGCTGTCATTCCTTTACTGTTGCAAGTCTTTGGAGACTCAAGAAACTAAGGTGTCCCTCACTCCCCCTCCCTCCACTGAACCCAACACCAACCCCACCCCCCAACTCCAAATAAAAAAAATCAAACTTTTTTTAAAACAAAATATATGTGTAGCAGCATCATGCCAAGCAAGACTGTAGCCTAAAAGCAAGTTCTTAAACTTCTTATTAGAGGAAAGGGAAGAGACGTTGATAGAGAGAGATAGAAAGAGAGAAATAGCGAACAACAACAATCTAACCATTTACCAAAAAAATCATTCAAGCTATAAACTTTAATCCACTCTATTATTTCTGCTGTTTTGTGTTTTTCTCTTAATCAAAACACTCTTGTCCTGCTCCTAGTATTTTTCGCCTTCCATGTAAAGAATAAAAGCCTTTTTTCTTTCATTAGAATGAGCAATGAAGTCACAAAATCTCAAAAACAACGAAGTGAACTTCACAAAGAGCTTAGTAAAGATATGCTTGAGAGTTGGACACAAGATCATGCTCAGGAGGTTCTCTGTCCTCAGACATATGAACTTTGGAGTAAAGAGGAGGAAAAAGCTAAAAAGGTTTTACAGGAGCTAGAAAAAGCCTCCATAAATGACGATGAAAGTAGTGATGATGCATCTCACTAAAGAAATGACTCAAGTTTTAGGCTTGAAGGTAAACACGTGAGAGTTTCCTGTATTTTTACAGAGAGGAGTTGATGTCTTGCATTCCACACAAATTATAGTGTTACAGAAGTGTTAATGGACTGACTCAAGAACATTTTTAGTATAAACGGGACAGATACAACCATAAGGCATCAGAAATGAACTTGTGGACTAGGGGCCATGCTAAGTTATTCTACTCGCAGTCAAAGTTTAGTGAACTTCAGTGTACAGAACTAAGCTGTTTACAGAGTACAGATTAAACCGAGATTTCAAAACCTGGTAACACGCGAGACTTCTCTTCAACAGGGGATACAACATGTATCCAAATCTGTTGAAGTCTCTGAAATAGAGATGCCGTAAACTGAAGATATTTTTAAATGCTGGAAGTTTACTAGCAGCTCATCAATGTTTGAAGGATGGCCATGTATTTATAAGTCGTAATGTTGTATTTTGTGTGGGTGCCCTGTGGTTCAGGTACCCATTTTATTTCCGTATGTGCAGACTGCAGACCTTTTCTGCTTCCAAACATGACATGATCCTCAGATCTTAAAACTTTAGTTCTGAAGCATTGTTAAATAGAATACCTTGAAGACCACCGCATTCAAAATTCTGTCTCTTTTCCCAAACTTCACAGTACTCAATAATCTACAATCTTGGGCAAAATGTTTTATGAATTTTCCACTTTCTCACCCACAGAAAGCCTATACCAGGGATTTGGTACCACTATACCCCCTCCAGTCACCCTTGCATGGTCATTGTTGTTCAGTCAGGGTCAGAAATGATCGAGCTGACCCAGGTTGTTCAAACGTTGGATAGCACTATCCAGCGGAAAAATCTCTATCCAGTGTGGGATAAGTGGTTACATAAAGCATTTGCATTATCCACTGGACAAAGATTTATCCAGGTGATAGCACTATCCACCTTTTGAACAACTGGGGCCTGGACTTTAACATTCCTTTTTTTTGGGGGGGGGGTGGGGTGGAGGGAAGGGGGACGTATTTGTAGCTGCCAGTACTTTCAAGAGCATTATCTTAAAACTAGACATAGCAATGTTCATTTCTCTTGACACTTTTGTCCAAGATTGTAGCCAGCAGCACAGCTTCACAAAGCATAACCTGTTTTTAAATCTTATATGTAATGCTATAATTTATTTTAGTAACATCCAGCTGGTGGTCTATTATCAATGCTGCATTCTGATTGGTTGAGCTACTACCAGGCTATATGTTATAGCCCACAAGTAGCAAAAAGCGCCAGCTCTGAAAACCAAAACAATGGCAGCTGAATCGTGTTTTGCTAGCTATAGTTGTTTTGTCTCGATATTTTTGACCAACTAGTTGGATTTTACCTAAACAATTATTCCTCTCACCCTCATGAGCTCTCAGTCAATAGCCCATTTGACCTTTGGCCTCATGGGCTATTGACTCAGAGCCTATTTGGACTCGAGGAATAATTGTCAAATAGCTCATGCTTACTCTTTATGCTATTGCATCGAAGTTTGTTCTTCCTGAAATTATAATAATTTTGGTGCATAAGTGTTAACATGACTTTTTTTTTTCAGAGACCCATCCCATGGGGTTTATTATGCCTTTCTGTAAGAAAGTTCAGTTAATACACAAATGATTAAAAACAGCTTTTATTGTATTAACTATTCTTTTTTATATATTATTTATCTTTAAACTGCAAAAATATAATTTAACTTTAACTTCAAATAACTCCATGGAGACAAAAAGTACAAAGATAAAAAAATTTTAGAAACAATTTTGGTGTAGTTATGTTTAGTAGCTTATGCTTCAAGAGGATGTATGTGATAGCACGTTCTTTTCAGTGAAATTTAAAGTAAATTCTAAGTTAAGAGAAGATGTCTCAAATAACCATTCCTGTCGTCATGGTTACATTTTTTTGGTCAGCGGTTAAGACAGCCAATAGTGAACGCTAGCACATTGTGTTACAACGTCAGTTATTCTCGTCCCAGGAGCCACTCATTTCTTCTGATCATGTGGTCAGCTGAGCCAGACCCTCAGGACAAGAGTCACCATTAACTTCTCGAACCCTTGATCGATACCCTTATTATTTTTTGCCGATATTTTGAAAACACATTTCTTTGCAAGCAGACATTCTGAAAGTTGAACCAAGTGTGTTTCAAGCTCTGGACATCTATTAGATAATTTTTTTTTTTTTTTCAAGGCTCAGTGCATAAATAAGTTATTTTCCTGAATCGCTGAGTTTTGGAATTATTTCTCATCTAATTATAATTTAAGTTATTATTGAGAGTCTTGGTTCATGGCTGTTCTTTCATTGCTTACTTTTGTAGACGAGAATTTTTAGAGCGTTATGAGCATAGTGTTATTAAATATTTTTGTATAAAACATTTAGCAAATAACAATATATACAAAAAAAAATTAATAAATGAGTAACTACACTAAAGTTTCCATCTCACTTTCGGGGTCATTAACAGATGAATCTCGCTTTATGTGCCCGTTACTTTCTCGGCATTCGTGGTTTTCAGGCGTTTTGAATCCGAGTGAGAAATTAAAAAAACTATCCCTGCGAAACGACGATTTCTGAATCAGGCTGTTTTCAGCTTGTCGTTTAAGCTTGGCTAGATGCAACAATTCTCTTTTGTGTTTTTGCCTCAGCACGTATATACGGCGCGAACAGTTGATCTTGAATATGGTGACGATTTTAGACATCTCTGACTTCAGTTCGGCTTTGTTGCGCATCAACTCCACTGTTCTTGGAAGCGGCTGATCTTTAGCTGCAATGAAGGTTTCATTTCATTTCATTTCATTTCATTTATTTGTTTATCAAGGTGTTAAGACTCCATATATAATTCGAGAGAAAAACTAAACGCAGTAAATGAGACGAGACCAGTTAAATTTTGTAAGTTTTCGATAGGGAAATTCAGATTTTCCGATTTTCCTATAAATCAAGAAATTTGGATCCGTCATGGATTAGCACGTAGCTTCGGTGAAATCCAAGTTTTTATTTCCCCTTTTAGGAGATAAGAAATCGGATTAGCAAAAAAATAATGTAGGTTTAAAAGGCTTTAAAAGGGTTTAATAAACACCTTTTTGAAACACCTTTTCGGCACGCAATCTTAGTTAACATACTCAATTACGTCTAAATGCAGTTTACTTAATCACCTAGAGTACTTATCAATCACTAGTTTCGTCACCAAAATATATTTAGTCGAGTTCAACAATAATAATCAATTTTGCCTAACCGTTTTATTTTTCATTATGCACTATTAAAAAGTATTTTAAGGACTTAATATTCCCACCTTTATTAGTTTGCTCAATTTTAAAATTGAATTGTAACTTGAAAACTAACTGAATTTGTTATATTAATTTCTACTTAAATGCAGCTTTTATAATTTTATCTTTGTGATATCTTACGTTTACTTCTTAGAGGGTCACAGGGTTCTAAGTTTCTCAATGTCACGTGCTATCCTATCGAAACTGAGTCGCATTGTGATGTGATGTGATGTAACGTAACGTAACGTAATATGTAAAGTAAAGTAAAGTAGAGTAGAGTAGAGTAGAGTAACGTAGAGTAACGTAACGTAACGTAACGTAAAGTAAAGTAATGTAATGAAACGAAATGTACTGCATTGCATTGTAATGGGATGTAATGGAATGGAATTTAAGCCAAGGTAATGTAACGTAACGTAAGGTGTCAAACTCGGGTGTTTTCGGTCATTTTCCCCTAAATAAAATTAGTAAAAGTAAGTCTTAACCAAACAGACCTTTTCCTTTGAATTTAATCCAGCCCATTCTCTTTGCAAACTCGAACTTCGCGCCGACCAGCCACAGAACAACAAGAAGAACACCGCAGATAATCAAGGAATTGATATATGTTGGAAATTCAGGATCAAATAAGCTGCTGGAACGCTCCACGGACATGCTTTTGGGTGTGACCTGCGACGAAGTGAGAAAAACTATTTATATCAAAAGATAAATCGAGTGTTTTACACCGGCAGCTACATCTACATCAATTTTCGTCGGTAAGGTCGTTAGACATCACAGCAACGTTTAAAATGTGACAAAAAGTTAAAATTTCAAAAGATCATCATGTCGCGAAATGGAAGAAGATGATCTTTTCGTAGATAAAGATTATTCTGTAAAATACTTGAAAATCTTAGCCTCTAAAGAGTTATAATGGCCTTGCCTCCTTCCTTTAGTTGAAATCAGGGGGTGTCAAATGAACTCAGGAAAGGACGTCAAAAAATGAACAGATGATCTATTTAACGTTTTTGGCCTTGCCTCCGTCCTTTTGAAATGAACTCGAAAGGACGTAAAAGAACCCACATTACCGTTTTCCCTTTAGTGCGTCTTTTATGACGTTACTTATAACATGCTTATTTGAGAAATACACATGTCTGCTGGAGTGGCTTGATGAGAAGAACTAATCTAGTACCTCTATGCTATCCACATTGTCCTCCACAATCTTTGAGATCTCTGATCGTTGCTCACTCACATATTCCTGGAAACACTTTTGAAGCTTTCTTGCTTCCCCTCCCAAAACGGCACCGTAAGCTGATGAGTAGTCTAGCAGCTTGCTGATTCTCAGATCTCTCCGATTGAAGAGTTCCTTTCTGCTGCCAACTGTAAAGGCATCAATAAGCATTCCTTTCACTTCACGGTTTGTTAGAGCCGCGTAAACCTCTTGAAGATTAGTGTAGCTCTTCCCTGCGAAAAGAGGATCACCATCATTATTTCTTCGTTGTCGTTGTCGAGATCATTATCAAATGACCACTACTACAACCACTACCACCACCACTACCACCACCATCATCATCGTCACTACTACTACCACCACAATCACTGTCGTAGCCACCACAAATCATAACCTCCGTCGTCTCCGCCACCACCACCACTATCACAATCACTGTCGCAGCCACCATCATCACCTCCGTCGTCACCACCACCATTATCATTGTTATTGTTACCATCATCCCCACCATCATCGACGTCATCGTCACCACCACCACCACCATCATCAATACCGTGGTCACCACCGTTATTATTATTTCCATAGTTACCATCATCACCACCCTCATCGACATCATCGTCACCACTATCATCATCGCCACCATCAACACCATGGTCACCACCGCCATTATCCATTGCCATAATTACCATCATCACCGCCACAATCGACACCATCGCACCACTCACTACCATCAACGCCATGGTCACCACCATCACTATTATTGCTATAGTTACCATCATCATCGCCATGGTCACCACCACCATTATCATTGTTACTGTTACCATCATCACCAACATCATTGCCGCTATCGCCACCACCACCATCACCACACCCATCATCACCACCATCATCGACGTCATCTTCACCACCACCATCATCATTGCCATAGCTACCATCACCACCATCATAGCGAAGAAAGAGATCAGAACATGCGTCAAGCAAGTGCTTGTAAGAGGTAAAAGGGTCAATTTAGGTTTCTGGGAAACTGCCCACCTACCCCTCCCCTAAACTAACATTAACATTTGGGGAGGGGAAGGTGGGCAGTTTCCCAGAAACCTAATTACATAACCGTAAGCCTTAATAGTCGGTCTTAGTCGCTTACAAGATGTGGTGGTTTACGAGAGCTACCAACTATAAGGTTTTGACTGGGAAAATTTTGGTGTTTTGGATCGCTGGTTGCCTATCGGAGGTGGTCGCATATGGAGGTTCGTCTGTGTAGGTAACATATGGATTCTTGTGCATGCTTTTTAGTGCAGCAGTAATTCAGCAAAATTGGCTGGCGATCTAATTTTTCCCTCTTTACGTTAAAGAACACTGTTACCACGAGTACTCACCATTCGGGTTTACTTTCGCGTTTTTCCTGATGGCCAGGCGATATCCAGAGGAATTTTGAATAGCCGCAATCTAACACAGAAAAAAGGAACAAAAGTATTAGTGAAATACATGGTCATCTCGCGAAAACCTCTTCAAATTCAGATACCTAACACACTTTAAATACAGCGATATTGGAAGTGATGTTTATCTTGTCGTTCTCGTTGTTGCATTTAGTCCATAATCAATCATTTATTTTTCATGTTTTTCGTGTTAAATTAAGGTAAGAGAAAGAAAATAAATTAAGTAAAATATATAAAATAATTAGTTAAATTTTTGATACATAATTATGATAATAATAATAATAATAATAATAATAATGATAATAATAATAATAATAATAATAATAATAATACGAGAAATGCCCATCTGTCTCTTTGACGTTCCTTTTAATGGCGGTTCACAGAATTTGTTTGTGTACAAAACAAAGAGAACAAATTAAGTTAACAAACCTTTGTTCCATATAAGCTCACTTCTTTGTCCAGAATCCTAGCGGTCAGCAGCGATGTCATGGTAGAATTAAAACACGTGACCATAATAAGACCCATTATAATCCAGGTGAAACAAACCAGGCGACCACAAGGTGACTTCGGAATCCTATCACCATAGCTGATGGCGAAAAGATACCAGCGTCATGTAATAGACCTTATTCACGAAACCTGTGATCTTTTCCAATCTTTGCACGCACTTTAAGGGCAAACAAGTGAAAAAATTTGCCCGTGCAAGAAATCGCGGTCGAGTTTGTTTATTTTGGACAACAGAAAATGAGAACTTTTCATGTTAAAGATGATAATGGCAAATAATAATGGGTGGAAGTGATCATTGTTACTTAATTCTTTGGATGCAGGAGCGACCGCGGATGTCCTCACAGCAAACAACAATGACTTAAATATTGACGAAACTCGAACTATACATTTTGCATGACTATTTAAAAATCGTCCTCTCGTTTTGAAAGAACAAACAAACTCGGCCGCGATTACTCATGTTGGCAAATTAAATCACTTGTTTGCCGGCTGAAATACCACGTGATATTGCTTTTATTCAATCGACTCCAAAGGACATACAGAGATGGCGGGTATCGTGAATAAGGTCTATCAAAGAGAGAAAGCTCCTCCAAGAAAACGAAAAAAAGGAGTGACAATGGGAACGAGGTTGCTTCCCCAAACTCCGTCCCAGGGTTCTCTCCTACTCGTTCCTGTGGGAGCGAGTGAAAGACAACCTTGGGAACGAGGCTGTTTGCTCCTCGTGTTTGATTATTAGCAGATTACTTGGTGTGTGAAGAGACTTTCCGTACAGAGAAAATCAGAATTGTCTTTGAAACATCTAAACCAAAGATTGTATAGTGACAATTTTTATTTTGAAAAAAATTATCCGCGCTGGAAACCATTGACTCTTATCGGGCCTTTACATCTGACACCACTTGTATTTGGTAATGGAAAGAACAATGGCTTTACAACCAATAATTGACAAGAAAAACACCATGTGTCATGTTAGGAAGCATGAAGAAAAAGGCTATTCAGTACGTCTTACGTTGCTTTGAACGAAATCAGAGATTGGCTGCCTTCCGTTCAACTAAGCAAGTTTTTGACGCATGACACACAATCGCTTACAAATGTTTTTAGCTTTAAAATGTCTTTCCCTAACTTAAAGAGCAACTTTCGCATGACCTTGAAATATGGTTTTGGTAAGTGTTCGTTATTTGTTTTATCAGCCAATGGGTGAAAAGATCAAAACATGGACTCTTCGTTTTCCCGCCGAAGAAAAACCTGATACGGGGAAGGCATTGTTCGATTGGCCAATCGCGTTGCAGTATTACGTCAAAGCGACGTATCGGATGATTCCTAGAAAGTTCTCGGGCATGACGTTTTTTCACCCGGGCGTTCGCTTAACCAACTAAAAGCCACGCGCGTTTGTATGCGTTCGATAAAACCAATCAAATCGCTCTATTTCCGTTCGTTTGTTGTTTCTGTTTTGTTCGCGCTTTTTCATTTCAAGGTCATGGGAAAATAGCCCTAACTTGGGGCATGCTGGGTTATCTTCTTCCCTAAGTGGTTTATTTCACAAGTCCTCACCCCAGAGTAGTCATCGAAGCAAAAGCCCACCACATTGCCTCCCAGCTGCCTTGTATGACATTTCGAGGAAAATGACGATCGTTTCCAGCGGTTTCCTAAGAAAGTTTGACATAAACAACAGCTAATAAGAGGGAATAAGGAGGTCTTTGGACTTTGAAAAAATGAAAGGAAGCATAAAGGCTCGCATCGCCTTTTTGTTTGTGTTTTTAATGCATGTAATCATATCCTGTGACGGTTATTTTCATATTAGAAATGGAGTATGCATTGCATATTCCGTGTCAGACGGATAATTCGCCAAAATGTGTAAACGGGTCAGTGTTAATTTTTGAACGAATAATCCATCCGATTTTATCCGTCGTTAGTGTGAAAACGGCCATTAAGGACATTCCTCTAAAACAGAGTCTGCAGTGGTATTTTTGTCAAACTTTACCGATTGGTCAGGTCTGGTTTGAAGGTAGCCACTCGTGCTGGAGTCACGCAATGTTCCCCGGGCGGGGAGCATTGCGTCACTCTGGCCCGATCGGCTGTGAAGGCACAAAAAGAGACAAAAATGACACGTTCTCTAACAGGCCTGAAGCATATTACTGTTACGACTTACCACAAACCACAAGACTAAACTTGAGACCCATAACATCGCGATTGACAGAAAGAGAATGGGAAAGCATAACGCCAGTGACTTCAGTAGGAGAGTAGCAGCCGTTCCTTTCTCGTCTCCAATGATAATCAGAGCCAGCCCAGGCGACTGCACAAACGGGACAAAACCGTAACTATCCAAATACCTAGTCTGGTCCATGAACCCGTACACTGGGAAATGAAGCTCTGTTGTCTCGTCAAAACTGCTCTTGAACTGGACAAGCCCGGATTTTCTCGCGGGATCTCCCGTGGCTGTGCGGGTAAAATCCACACGAGAGATCCCGTGCTCGGTGCAGTTCCCGCAACAAGTATACACGGCTTGTTTAAGGATAGGTGTTATGATGCCGCTCTTGTTTGAACGCGGGCTGTCCACGTATGGCGGGTTGATCCACCAATTTGTGAAAATGGTACTGTGACAGTTGCAGGTATCTGGTGAAAAAAAAGAAAAAACGCCACAGTTTACATCATTCAAGCGACAATAATTTGCCGTCCTTGATTTGACTTTGTCCTAATTATCAGTTCATTCGATAAGCGTTGTCCTTGCTTTTTTAGTATAAGTGTCGTTGACTTTTTATTGCATCATCCAAACTTGTTCTCTTTAAACGAGTGGAGAAGACGCAAAACAAACCTTACTTGACTGACACCCTCCCGCCTTCCATCGCTTGATAGTTTTTGTCTTTTTACCGCGCCTGACAACAAGATCGATTACACTTTTTTCGTTGCCTGGCAACAAGATGAAACTTTTCCCCGCGCTTTGCAACAGGTTCTTGACACTTGACACCACCATTGATTACACTTTTTCCATGCTCGGCAACAACATTGATACTACTTTTTCCTAATTCACCCTTTGCACTAGCATATTTTTGCTTTAAGTTCTGTTCAGCTCTCCCGATTTGTTTCCGTAACTGCTTATCAGTTTATTCGCGCCTTATTGCTGGTTAGCACGTGACGTCACGGCGGTCATCTTTGGTGGCCAAGAACAAAAGCATTTCTCTCCTCTGGGAACTAAACTCCATTTTCATGTAAATTTTTTGGGAATAAATTCTGTTGTATTGACAACCAACATGGCAGCCTTATCACGTGGTTGCAAACCAAGAATTATTCTTTAGGTCATCTGAATTACCTGCCCTTATGGGAGTACTCTTCACACCATCCCCTTTGACTGTAAACGCCAAGACTCGAACCTCATATCTCGTGAAAGCAGTCAAATTCTCCAGAACAGCAATCAGTGTTGACGGCCCGACTGTCACTTCGTAAGTTTCCAGTTCCTCGAGGTTTTCGTTTGCGATAGTAATTGCACTGTATAGCACTTTGTAACCACGCAGTATTCCATGAACGTAAAATTCATCGGGAATTGGGTTCCATTGGACTGTTATTTGAGTTGGGCTCGTCTTGTTAAATGCTCGAACGTTAATGGGCGACTGACTTGGGGCTATAAAAAGAAAAAAAACAAATTATGACATTTAAGCCCAAATTAATTTCCCATCAGGGCTCGCACACATTTGAGCTCTTCAAATTTCCATGACTTTCAATTCACCATTTGCACACCTTCCATGATATACCTTGTTTGCCCCCCCCCCCAAATTTTTGTATAACCTTTGCTATTCATTTCTCCTGAATATAACAGTCGTCTCAAGAGAAATTAAAAACATTTCCTATGCAAAATTGTTGGGGGGGGTGGTGGGGGGAAGGGGGTTGGGGCAATCAAGGTGTACTATTAAAGGTAGACGTGCAAATGGCCAATGACTTTTCATTTTTTCCACAAAATGTTCTTTCTGTCACTTTCGAAACTATTCGAAACTTTTTTGGGGATTTTTTACCTAACCAGTTCTAACTCGGTTGAAAAGACTCAAACTCTAGTGTCCGCCAAAACGCGTGCCGTTCGCGCTCTTAAATTGCTTGTCTTTATATCTTACCTTGTCCTTGCTTTGACAAATATAAGTTAAATTTCCCTTCACTTTCCAGGTTTGCCATTAACCATTCAAACCTTTCAAGTTTATTGAAAAACTTTATTTTAAAAAATTAAGTGAACTTACTGTATTCATCAGTAGAGACGATTATTTCTTTACTAATTGCTCCCTCTCCCACAGCCGTGAAACCAAGAACTTGGATTTTGTACTTGGTGTAAATCCATAGATTCCTCAGATGAACAGACCGTTCGTTGGTGCTCAGTTGTTTTGTTTCATATGTGTCACGTGATTCATTATACCGCCAAAAGAGCACTCTGTAGCCCAATAGCACGCCATGGATAAAGTTCCGAGGTATTTCGTCCCATTGTACAAAGAGGCTGGTGTGGCTTGTGTTGCGGCCTTTCACTAAGATAACGGGTTGGCTGGGAACTAAAAGCCAGTAATATGAGATAAGATCATCAACAACAACAACAACAACAACAACAACAACAATAATAATAATAACAATATTTTTGCATGGAACCCATTACCACTTATCCTTCATATCCACTTATGAGGATATGGCAGTTTTTAGGTAAGCGGTCAAAGTTATTTCCACGTCGGTTATTACCCGTGCGTTTCTAAGTTTAATGAACCGCTGAAAGGCGTTGCGCCGTTACTCTGGCAGTCAAAAGCCAACCTTGTCGTGCCTGCATAACATTTTTCTGCGTGTTGGTGACTGCTATATGAACTTGTTTTAAGTAATGGTTGACTTTTTAGCTTGCTTGCGTCTGTAGTTATTAGTAGTGTAGTAGGGAACAAATTAACCCCTTTGGTAGATTCTACACCCCGAACGTCAACAAGACTGAAATACAATACAAAAAGAATACAGTATAGCATTGTCATGGTTCATTTATTCTCAGTGAGGGTGTGACATACAAGTTTGCACGCGGGAGCACGCACTAAATCCATAAGGCCATTGAAAAAAAAACCTAAAAAAAAAATTCACTGGAAGTCTCGGAACTAGTAGCCCCTGGTACCCCAGGACGACGTTAAAAGTTAACATTCACATATTTGGCTTAACAAAATGGACAATATACTGTAAAAAATGTTCATGTTTTTGTTCCTGTTGTTCTCTGTGCTGTTACTATGCACATTTTTCAGATTAAAAGAATTATTTCAAGTGAAAAATCGTTTAACTACGTCGTTACTTTTTTTTTCTGAAAATGCCAAAAATTTGGGTCGGTCGGACAACGCTAAAAGGGCGAAAAAAGAGGATGGCCTACGACCGAATTAGTATAAACCATGACGTCATCAACGTTAATGTATCTCAAATCAATGACACTCCTCTAAATTTTCTTCTAGGACAAAGTAGTCAGGCTAATGATGTTGTCTACCAAAATAGGTTGATTCGATCCCTAGTACACTAATGCCGTCTGTGATCGGCTATGACACTAGGTGACAGTAAGATACTAAATGGGTGGTCATGAAAAGGAAAAAACCTGACAAAAATTGAATGGCTGCTCTTCGTTAAATACTTTCTTGACGTAAGTGGATAACAGTTTTTCTACAACAGTTAGCATCAATGCCATGCATTCGATGCATCACTCGACTTATCAACTTCACTAATTTCATTCTTATGATCGTTTACTACCGATAGCATCGTAACAATAAATCACGTGACTTACCATCTTCGCTAGTTCTAATCTCAAGAGGTCGTGGAGTTTGAGGTCCCAGTCCTTTACTGGTGAACCCGGCCACCTTAATTACGTACCAAGTGTATTTCTCTAGATTATCAAGAGTCGTGGACTCCCTGGTGCTATTCACAGTCTTACTGAACATTGGCTGATACGATTTTTTGGGAGCGTAGAAAATTTTGTATCCCAAGAGAATGCCGTTTCTGTATTGGTGAGGAATGTGTCGCCATTCCACAAACAGAGAGGTAGAGCTCTGGTTGAAGCCAGTAACGTTGGTTGGGAATGCTTCTGGTACTGCAACAATCATAGATAGATATAGCAAAGATAACGTCACGCCATATGAAGAGTAGGTCACGGGTCACGAAAGTGCACGATTAAGTCAGGATGCAAACTCAAAGTCGTGACAACTTTCTTAGAATCTTTGCCATTTTTTACCACGTTTTATCTTTGAAATTGTGAAAAATGCTGTTGTCCTACAGATGTTGCTAAAGTTTAAAACACTATCTAAAGTCCGAACCGAGTAATTCAGAAATAAGAAAAGAACTGAAGATTGATCCAGACTTTTTTAGCTTCCCATTTTACAGAGGTATACGCCTTTAAAAGTGACCTTAAAGGATTTGTTACTACGAACATCACATGACCATTCACGTGATCTAATATTAAAATCTAAAAAAAGGGATCATTGCGAAGGGGAAAATTGTAATGACTTCAATTCTCACGTCAAATTTTAACCCGCACAATACGTTCACTTTGCTTGCCTCTGTCTAGCGGTTATTGAAAGTTTCAGAAAGAATTAGAAAAGATATTTAAAATAATCTTACCATCTTCATCAGTAGTAATAGCCACAGTTTTGCTCTCAATTCCACTGCCTTTGCTAGTAAATCCTTCAACCGTCACCATATACTTTGTAAACTTGCGCAAATTGGTAACGACCACAGAAGCCGCAGACTGATTGACAGTTATTGTACTCCATCGTCGGTTGATTCGACTGCCCGTTGCTAAGAAAGAAACATTGTAACCGAGAAGAATGCCGTGCGCGTAACGAGAAGGTATTGGGCTCCATCGCACTTCGATGCTTGTTGACGTCATGTTGTTGCCTGTGACGTTAGCTGGCGGGCGACTGGGAACTAAAATCAAACAAACAATTCTTCATTATAAGGTATCAAAGACGGCCAGTTTTTAAAAATGCATCATTGGACTATGCCAACCGGTGTGCCTTTTTTGTTGGTTCTCTTTCCTGTTGGTTACTCTGAAAAGTGTTTCTCCGATTTCTCCTCTCCTTAGAAGCGAACACTTCCAAATTCCAATTCGATCTGGAACTTTGAAAAACTGTTTTCCTAAGACGTTCTCGACAACCACAATTTCAGTCCGTCTTAATCTTCTTCATGTTTATCCACCCCTGTCTCTTTTTGCATTTGTTGCGTTATTTATACTTTATTTTCTTGTTTTGAGCTGTTATTTTTATATTTCACTAACTTCCGTGGTGGCAACCACAGATAAATATTGATGAATTCCGCGACATAAATCCTTTCACTTCTCAGAGCAGACAGGAGCCCATATAGGCTTCTCGAGCAGCTAAATTTACTTATAATAAAAAACCCTCCAGAGACATCTCTACTGCAAGACCAGCTATGATTTTTCATACAACTGCTTTTATTCTTACCATCTTCTTCCGTCTTGACAACAACAACATCAGATCGAGGTCCGTCGCCTTTTACCGTAAAACCGCTGACCTGAATTCGATAGTTAGTGAATTTCAGAAGACCCTGTATCAGAGCCGAGGTGCGACCAGTTTCAATTGTGTGAATACCCTTACTGACGTCACCAAATCCCTCGGGATCCGTGTTGATGTAGTGTATATGATATCCCATGAGAATTCCGTGGATAAACTGCTGCGGAATTGGAGACCATCCTACGTAAATAGCTGTGCTACTTCTGTTGCTGGCTGTAACATCCAGTGGTGCCATACTCGGTGCTGTAATTAAAAGAACATGTAAAGAAGTCATTGAAAGTTGAACATGCATCCTCCGTTTTGATTAAATAAAATTTTCACTGGCAACAACATCACTTAAATATCTTGCTTTTGCCATGACTTTTAAGGATTGGTTTTATTATTAAAAACAATGATATTAAACCAAACGCCTTAAGGCTGTTTTTCACTAACGACAGAGTCGGAGTCGGAGTCGTAAACGGAGTCGTAAGAGCGCTTATGACCTGGTGAAAATCAAAAATCGGAGTCGTAAGCGGAGTCAAAAGCGCAACGGAATCGGAGTCAGAAGAATCAGAACGTTTCCATTTCTTCCGACTCCGCTTACGACTCCGTCGCTTACGTTCTGCTTATGAGCTATGAGCTAGTGAAAACCAGATTGTCGGAGTCGGAAGCACAAGTGGAAGGATAAACCAATCACGATGCACGTTCCCACGCTTTGTGATTGGTTTAGTTCTTCCGCTTCTGCTTCCGACCCCGACACTTTGGTTTTCACTAGATCATAAGCAGAACGTTAGCGACGGAGTCGTAAGCGGAATCAGAACGCTGTTTTCACTAGATCATAAGCTCTACGCTTCTGATTACGACTCCGACTCCGTCGCCAGTGAAAACCAACCTTTAGCCATCACCCTGCAGATAGAGCCTCCTTAAGCTTTTGTCTTTTTCTTAGTCGAGGAGGAGAAAAGAAGACTCTGCCTTAATCGCGTTAAGCCCTTGACTAGTCAATCTTGTTTTCTCTCGTCAAACTGGTTTTTCGAGTGCGAGCACCCATTTATTGATAGAACTAAGGTGATAACGAGCCCGTTGTACCATGCGTACGGCTATTAGGCCTGGGGTCGAAGCTCATCGTGGGTTTCATGCAGAGTCTTTCACAATAACTCCAAAACCGAGTGTGTGAAAGAGGGACTTTGCTCGTAGGGTTCTTAGGCGTCGCATATGATACACAATTTACACATGTACCCATTTTCGAGACCAATTTTCAGTTGCTTACTATCTTCGTCTGTGCTTGCCGCTATGGGAAAGCTATCCACTCCGACTCCTCTATAATTAATTCCCGCCATTCTGAAACGATACTTGGTAAACTTTTTTAATCCAGTCACGTGAGCTGAAAGATTTTCTCCCTTGATCACTTTCATCCACTCCTTGCTGTCATTGAAGCTGAAGGATATTCTGTATTCGAGAATGGGACCGTTGGAGTAGTTTAATGGGATAGGCAACCAGTTTAGGACAATTCCTGTGGAGCTTGTATTTACAGCTGTTATACTGACTGGAGCCATCACTGGGACTAAAATTGCAAAACAACACTAAGTACTTTCATTAAAATATTAAGCTCACTAGTTTTATAAGCGATAAAAGCCAGATATAGTTCTAATTATTGAGGGAAATGTGTTGGGTCAGAGTGTTTTTCAACTGAGTGTTGTAAAACTAGAACCGACTTACTCAGGCTAGAGAAGGAAATTCAATTACCTAATCAGAACTATAAGCAAATACGTGTAACCGGCCTCAAGGGCGGGGAAAACTACAACCACGTTAATAACCTCGACCAATCACAACACGAGCTGATAAAAATGACCCAATCAGAACTGAAATTCGGCGCAGCGCATAGCAAAACCCACGACCAGAGGTATAATTTTGACCAATCACAACCCGAGCTGACAGAAAATAAATCAATCAGAACTGGAAGCAAATACGTATAAAGGTGATGTTACACGGGACGATTCGCAACGACGATTTTTACCGCAACACAGCGTTGCAATATTGTTGCGACATTGTTTGGAATAGTTACAACATTGTTCCAGCGTTGCAACGCTGTGTTGCGCTTAAAATCGTCGTTGCGAATCGTCCCGTGTAACATCACCTTAACTGGCGCCAAGTGCAGAGAAGGAAATCAAATTATCCAATCAGGGGCCCGTTTCTCGAAAGACCAGGAAACTTTCTGGACGCGAAGGCAAATTTTAAAATAAAACCCTGTTAAATAGACTTACCATCTGGTGACGCAAGTCTTATAGGGGAGACTGGCATGTCATCTATTCTTCCGTCCCGGTAAATGACGTCTTGAAGTGGGGTGATACCTTGGTATGAACGATGAAGAAGACTAACAGAAAACTCCGCAATGACGCTTCCCTTTCTTCAAAGAAAAATCAAATCGAAATTAATAGTCTTTGTTTTCGAGGTTAGGGTTGTTGTTTCACTCTGGCAGACTGTGGCTTATGTGACTATAAAGGATGCCTGTTCACCAAGCGAGGCAACAAGCATTTTCTCGTCAGTTTTATTTGCACGTGTCAATAAATACGACAGGATGGAGACATGGACTCTGTCTTTGCTAAGGAAACAATACAACGACGGAAACAACCCATTGCGATACTTGCTAACTACCCTTTGGTTACTATATAAATTTCCTAGATTTTCCTTTTTTTTAATTTTTGAGATACAAAATAAGAACTGGTAAAACTGGATTTGCTTCTAGAAGGAAAGAGCTAGAGATCCTCTAGCTGGCCTGGCCCAAAAGCACCTCAGACTAAGGCACTGTTACTAGCACATCAGTGTCATGTGCTGTCGTTTACGTGAAAAGAGAGAAAATAGCAACTTACGTGAATGAGAAATTTGTCACTTCAGAAACATCCTTTTCTCCCATTATTTCTTTAACCTGTGGGATTAACAAAGCAACCAGTTGTTTGAAAACTGAACAAAAGAAAAATTGAGGTGAAAAAAGTGAAAGAAATGAAAGTTTTTATTACGGATCAAAATGTTACTATTTTTCTTAACTTGACTTAATTGAACACGTTTTGTTGGGGTGTGAAATAAGGCACAAGGGCAATATAACAAATTATCCCTCCACATCCACCTCTGCAATATACTACCAAGTAAGTACCCCTCCTTGACTATTATATGACAGGTTGTCGTAATGTTGAGTAATATCAAGAAACGCACGCTTATGAAATTCTTGGCTTTTATGGTACACATAAGAAAACATCCTCTGCTAAACGCAAGCAACGAAGAAGAGAAGTGATGACGTCACAAAATATTACATTTGTGAAACTATGGGATAGGTTGGCTTTGCACTAACGGACTAACATTTTGGCAAAAGGGCTTTTTTCATCATGTTTTTTCTGAATATCCCAACCATACCCATAATTTCACAAATTTGAATTTTTGTGACGTCACACTTCTCTTGTCTATTGTGTTTAACATGACGTCATATGGAAACTACAAATCATTGTGTGTAATACAAAGTACATTATGCATTTCTGGACATAGGTGTCGTGTTCAGACTAAGGCCAGGGTGCCCCTAGCATACTAATGGGCAACTCTAAATATACCAAAAGACGTAACATACTCCAAACTTTATTTTGAGGATAAGCAGATTCGTCCGACTATTTCTGTCATTTGTTAATCCGTCCTCCCATTTTTCTGATGTCAGGTTCACAGCTAAGTCAAAAACGATATCTGAAAAAAAACAGAGTTAAAAACGATATCTAAGATGTAAAGAAACAAACAGATTGCAAGTTGTTTTTTCCGACCTCAATCCGACCAGGAATCAAACCCAGGCCCATAGTTCGGAGGACTGGTACTGAACCAATTTAAATGACTTAGTCAGCGATCAAAATGTTAGTCAAGCTTAAGGCGTGCAAATAGCAAGGTAGTCTATTTGAGGCAAAATAAAGAGGAGTATCTCAAACCTGGACATTTCTCAGTATTGCATGCGAGGGAATCAATGCTTGGACCCAGTCCGCTACAATTTCGTCCTCCATGAGCCGGTGGTGGACTGGTGCAGCTTCGTCTTCTAATGCGCTTGCCTCCGCCGCACGTGCGAGTGCACGGCTCGAATCGAGTCCACTCGCTGTAGCCGCCATGAACAGGACACGGGAACGTGTTGCAACTCTGTACTTCCGATGCCGGGCCCAGTCTTTCGCAATCGCCTCCACCATATTTGGGTTTGGGATTGAAGCACGTTCGCCATCGTTTTTGTCTTCCACCATTGCAGGATCTGGTGCACGCAGAGAATTCAGACCACTCCGTGTACCCACCGTCAATAGGACACTCTCTTAGAAAGCATTCCCTCGCATCGATGGCTAAACCAAAATCTGAACAATTTCGGCCACCAAATTGCGGCACTGGATTCGTGCAGTTTCTCGTGCGATATTTCCTACCTCTGCCACAACTCCTAGAACATAAACCAAATTCAGACCAACTTGTGTAGCCGCCATCTATGGGACAGGGATGTACATTGCATGTTTTAACATCCACAGATGGTCCTTGTAAAGAGCAATTCTTACCCCCGTGTCGGGGCGCAGGATTTGTGCAGTTTCTAATTCTATACTTAGTACCATTACCACAAGACCGTGTGCATGATGTAAAGTTTCCCCATACGGTGTAACCTCCATCGACAGGGCAGGGAAAAACGTTACACTGCTGAACATCTATAAGAGGACCTAATAAAGAACAATTTTTACCACCATGTTTTGGAAAAGGATTTGAACAATTTCGAGTTCTTGATCTGGTGCCATTTCCGCAACTTTTACTGCAAACACTGAAGAATGACCAAGAGGAAAAATTACCATGGATAGGACATGGAAATATATTACAACTTTTAATTTCTTTCGATGGACCAAAAAACGAGCAATTTCTGCCACCATGTTTAGGCTCAGGATTTGTGCAAGTTCGCTTTCTAACCATTGTTCCGTTACCACAACTTTTACTACAAAGACTAAAATTGGACCACGCTGAGTAGCTGCCATTGACTGGACAAGGGAACGTGTTACATTCTTTTATTTCCTCCGCAGGTCCTAAAAATGAACAATTCCTTCCTCCAGGTCCAGGAGGAGGCTCAGAACAATTCCGTGTTCTTTTCATTGTGCCATTAGCGCATGACTTGCTGCAAGCGCTGAACGCTGACCACTTAGTATAGCCGCCATCAATCGGACATGGCAACACATTACACACTTTAAAAGAGATAAATTTACCAGTGCAATAATCTCCTCCATGCTTTGGTTCCGGATTAGTGCAATGTCTTGTTCTGTTTTTTAACCCCACTCCACAGCTCCTTGTACACTCGCCGAAGTTTGACCAATCGGAGAATCCGCCATGCACAGGGCAGTTCCGGAGAAAACACCTTTGCACTTCCACAGACACACCAAGATGCGAACAATTTCTTCCTCCATATCGAGGTTTTGGATTGGAGCAGCTACGCGTCCTTTTTATTTCTCCTATCCCACATGATTTCGAACAGTTGCTGAATTCTGTCCACGGTGTATAACCGCCATCTATGGGACAATGATGTGTATTGCAGTGTTGTATTTCAGTGTCTGATCCCAAACTAAAACAATTCCTTCCACCGTGTTTCGGTTCAGGGTTTGAACAATTTCTAGTCCTGTTTTGTGATCCATTTCCACATGATTTAGTACATTCGCTAAATCGACTCCATTCGCTATAGCCACCATGAATGGGGCAAAAATTCGTGTTGCAAGTTTTAACTTCAATATTTGGTCCTAAATGTGAACAATTTTGCCCTCCGTACATGGGCTTTGGATTGGAACAGTTTCTACTCCTCTGTCTTGTTCCATTGCCACAGGACACTGTACATTTAGAAAAGTCTGTCCACTGTGTATAACCACCATCTATTGGACAATGATGTGTATTGCAATTTATTATTTCATTATGTGATCCCAAACTTAAACAATCCCTTCCACCATATTTCGGTTCAGGATTTGAACAATTTCTAGTTCTAATTTGTGAGCCATTTCCACAGGATTTCGTACACTCACTATAATTACTCCAATCGCTATAGCCACCATGAATGGGGCATAAATTCGTGCTGCAAATTTCAATTTCAATATTTGGCCCTAAATGTGAACAATTTTGCCCTCCGTGCATTGGCTTTGGATTGGAACAATTTCTAGTCCTCTGTCTTGTTCCATTGCCACAAGACACTGTACATTTAGAAAAGTCTGTCCAAGGTGTATAACCACCATCTATTGGACAACGATGTGTATTGCAATTTATTATTTCAGTATGTGATCCCAAACTTAAACAATCCTTTCCACCATGTTTTGGTTCAGGATTTGAACAATTTCTAGTTCGAACTTGTGAGCCATTTCCACAGGATTTCGTACAATCACTATAATTACTCCAATCGCTATAGCCACCATGAATGGGGCATAAATTCGAGCTGCAAATTTCAGTTTCAATATTTGGTCCTAAATGTGAACAATTTTGCCCTCCGTGCATTGGCTTTGGATTGGAACAATTTCTGGTCCTCTGTCTTGTTCCACTGCCACAAGACACTGTACATAAAGAAAACTCTGTCCATGTGCTATAACCTCCATTTATAGGACAAGGTTTCTCGCTACAATTTTTTATTTCCATTGATAAACCTAAATGAGAGCAATTACTTCCTCCGTGTTGAGGCTCGGGATTCGAGCATTTTCGGGACCGTCTCTTGATGCCCGTCCCGCAAGATTTGCTACAGTTACTGAAAGAAGACCATTCTGAATAACCTCCGTGAATAGGGCACCTTCTTAGAAAACAAAACTGGAATTCTTCAGCGGCCCCCAGAGAAGAACAGTTTCTACCGCGATTTTTCGGTGGGGGACTGGTGCAAGTCCGTGTACGTTTCATTGTACCGTTGCCACAGGTAACTGAGCATGCGCTGAACTCGGACCATCCGCTGTAGTCGCCATTCACTAAAACAAAAGACATTTAATTTCATACATGATTTTTATTGTAATCCCTTAACATTAGGTTGAATATTTCTAAATAACATTCCACCCATTCCTTTTCTTAATTGTTCACGATTACGACTAGGACGTAATAAACACTTAGTTGACCCCATTTCTAGCCAAATAACAACAACACTCCAGTTATAAGGCATGACTCGGCTTCTTAAAAGCACGGTCGAAAACTCGTAATCAGTCAATCAAGCAATATACTAACAAACAAATACAATCGGACAAGTTTCATGCACAGAAATGTTGAGCTTTACTTATATGGGTCTCGCCCTGTTGTGGATACAAGCGGTTAAGAGCGCATGCGCAGTAGCGAGGTTTACGTGTCAGTTCGCGCGTCAGGAGATTCCCCGCCTCCTGCTCCTACTCTATTTCTGAGCAAATTAACTTTCACAGTAGAACTAATCTAATTATCTAAGTAAGGTAAACACTGAAAGTCACCCTTCGTTTAATGTAGGTAAAAAATGAACACGACATATCATTTCGCTCTTTTAACACTCTATGCATTGTTATTTGTCTTGTAGCGTAGAATTTTCAACAAAAGGGAAGAAACAGGGAAGCATCTCGCTTGCACGCTTAAACCATCTTAGAACACACACACAGAGGAATACCTCATCTAGAATATGCAGCAATAATAATAATAATAATAATAATAATAATAATAATAATGGAATATCTGTTGTGACTCAGCTTTATCCTTGATTTAAATTATATTTACCCTTGTTCTTCAATATCGCAAAGTATGATAATGAGTCAAGGCAAATGAAATTAAAATTTAAACAAAGCATAACATTGAACCACAACATACAGACAAAACAGCGAAGCTGATAAATGAGTGATTAACCGCGCCTGCCAAACTAATGCAAAAGACAACTACAACAACTACCTCACGGAGAAAAGATATTTTAAAAATGAGAAAAATAAATTGTCAAATAAAAACTGATGCTCCAAAATCGTAAAAATAGTTAGCACAACCCCTGATGAATCAATTCCCTTGAATTACTGCAAAAGTTTCATTTACCTCTAAGGAAATTGCGGTTTTTCAATTCATAACGAATTAGTGTTAACGTGGGTCTTATTACATTAATTATACATCGTCTTCATTAGTGGAAAAAATAATATTTTAAGGTAAAATTCTTTCATCATTTTTGTAAGCTTTCTTTTATAAAAAAGATCTTCTGTAGATTAGGAAATTAATAAATAATCTCGGACTTTAATTGAGACGAGAAGATATTACAGAAAGGGAAGAGAAAAGTTAAAAAGTTCGTCACCTGCGTTATAACGTCTATTTAAACCTTGTGAATGGACAGCATTTCAAATCTTGTAACCGCCCGGCGGTACTTTGCTGTCGTTAACACCTTTTTTCGAAAATTGAAAGCCGCTTGTTAATTTTTTTTGTCAACACTTAAGTTTATTTACCTTTAATTCTCATTAAGTTCTTGAACGCAACAAAGATTTACCGACCTGAGTGAATGTGAAACAACTCACACAGCGTGACATTGGATAGAAGGCGGTCCCAGATGGCAAACTCATCGACCAACAGTTTTATGTTTTTCTTCAAACCTTGACTAGCTCCTAATATCAGCCTGGATGGCTTGTCATGTTCGACCGGCTCACCTGGCTCACTAGTGTTAACAACTTGAGCTAGAGAGCAGTTTACAAAGATTTGCAATGACTGGGTGTTGTTGTCCCATTTGAGAGCTATGTGATTCCAATCTCCGCTGTTCCATTCTTGTAGCCACTGGTATTTGCGCAAGCGGGTATTAATACTAAAACCAATGTTCTTTTTCGTACTTTTCCGCGTCCAGACCGTAAATCCTCGCGAATAGCGGTGTTCGCCCAACTGCAGTATGATCTTGTTGCCTTGAAATTCAGGGATTTTCAGCCAAAACGCGATGGTAAAACCAGAATCGCAGGTTGAAGGCTTGTTAAGACACGAGATTGGCACTACACCGAAATCCACCCAAGAATCATTCCCAGATAGAGCAAGAGCTGAACCGACAATTCCCGAGACAGTAGCGAACCCACCGTTCACTTTTCCGTTATTAGAACCCGTGTAGTCGGTGACAGTTCGGTTTGGGACACCTTCAAAAGGCCAGTAGTTAACCGTGCTCCTGTACCATTCTGCGGCTTTGAAAGAAAACAGTGACAGTAAAAGTCTAAGTGAAGGGAGTAAGTTCATTTCTGATGCGCCAGCAACCTTAAAACCGCAATTTACTGAGGTGCGATGAAATACAGCCTTCTGTGCTTTTGGTTCAACTTTCGGTTGAATATTTAACGGTGTTTCTCAATTGTCATGCAAAATAGTTTATAAAAAAAACGCTGCGGAAATCTTATAGTCGTCTCATTTAAATTGATTTTTCAATTCGCTATAATGTTTGTTTTGGCGTTCTCAGTGTGGCCGGTCAAAACATTCGCAAAGAAAAAGTAGTAGAATTCAACTTGAAAACAATATTTCATGTGTCATTTAAATTTCTTTTTCGGTGTGTTTGATTCTGCAGGTGTGCATATTCAAATAAGGAATTTGGATGACAACGGGTAATCGAAAAAGGACAAGGCTTCACAATATGAACATTTCTCCCTGTCGGTAGAAAGTAAATAACCGGCATTTATGTGAGAAAAGATAACATTCATCCTTATGGCGCTTTTTAAAATAGCCTTCATTACATGGCAAAAATTAAAAAGAGCTCCACTTCATCTAGACACGTGCTTGAAAGATAATTTCACCTGGTAAGGAATAATGAAAGCATCATAGAAAAATAATCTTTTGAAGGTATCTTTGGAGCCGTTACAAAGTGATTTATCTCCGATGTTTTGCGTTGGAACTAAATCACACAGTCACATTACAATGTTACCATGGTAACTAACCGCTAAAACTAACTCTCATGCAGGGAGCCCCTGCTTGAAAAATTCATATTTTTGTTTAATTTTTTTTACAGAACTGATTCTCTTTCCTCAGCTTATTTTGGTCCCTGTTTTGTTCCAGAAAATCCTTTGTTTTTTGTTTTGACGGTCAAAATACTAAACAAACTTATTATTTTGCTATAATTGGCTTGTGTACAATACCCGTTGTTATTAAAATTTTCTTGACCGAATCTTTGTAAGCCCAAACACGCAATTTTCAATCACACCTGGCCAAAAGATTCAAATTTGATAAAATCCAAGCCCGATGACAGGGTATAGGCAACTGAGGCAGCAAACTGGGAAAATTGTGAAGTTTCATGAGCGTGTCCCTTACAATTTATATTGCCACGACTAGACTACTGACAGTATATTATTTTCCTGATATTTGGGCGATAAGAATTTTCATCTTGCTACATTTCTGAAATCTGTTTAACAAGAGGTTGCACAATGTAGTCACTAAAGAAAATAACATAAAAATAAAATAAAACTTAAAAAACTATTAATGCAAGTTTATAACACACAGGGATCGTCTGGCTTGGTAGAATCATATTCTCAAATAAGAACTTGGGCTAAGCAAGGAAACAAACAAGGTAACGTTTTTATTTTTTTCAATTCAAACTACAACTTCTTGTAAGCACGATTACAGTTGTATCGAAGTGGTATTAGATCTTTTCAAAAGCAATTGTGTTAATTAAGTTACAACAAAAAAGATGTTCGCATAAGTTATAAGCTACGATCTTATGAAAAATCTCTCACCCACCTAAGCAACAATCCGCTGAGGACTGCATTCGTGCAAACGACTTTTCTGAGATTTCAAATGATTGTATCGTAGGATCCACGATTAATTTTCTATTCGAAAATTGGGTTCATGTACAGGTTTTTTTAAGAAAAAAAAACATAAACATTTGACTTATATTCAGTTGTTCGGTTGTAGATACGTCGAGGAAATATTTAGTAAAAGATAACTGGTTTACCGAGGCCGTTTGACACCGCCTATATTCTAGAACCACTAATTTATGGCACCTCGAAAAACAATATTTATTGGGAAGACTGGAGAAAGTAGCCCAGAAAAAAGAAAAAAACCGGGTCGCTTAAAAATCTAAAGAAACTGAAGAAACCTGTCAAACCATTTTGTATTTCGTGTCCGTCGCATGTGCCGATTACGCTAGACACATCCGTTTGAATTAGCGTCTGCAACAAATTGCAGAAAAAAGGATAAATAGGGGCGTTTAATACACCCCTCTTTTCATCGTATTAATAATATGGATTCTAATAAGTCCTTGATTCGCCCAAAGCGATTTTCCTCTTTTTCAAGAATTGAAAAACAGTTCGTTTTTTATTCCAAAAATTAAGAGAGGCATCTCTTGTCAATCAACTCTGCTGTTGATTTAAAATCGTAGCAAGGCAGTTATGTAACGTTAATATTAGCACACACACAAAAAATTAAAGATCAGTGGTTAATTCAAGACGAAAATGGGTTAAAATCAGTTTCGTGTAGAATGCAATTACTCTTAAGCCTGATTACTATTTTTGATCAATTTGAAGGCCATTAGCGAACATCTGGTCCATATTTAACACCTCAAATTTTGTCTGATTATTATTTTGATTCCGAGACCGTGGACGTAAAGGCTTTCATTACCAACGTATTATCAACAGCCGGTGTATTCGGTTTCGTTTATTGCCTTTTTTTGCAACGACCAAGCTGTCGGAATAAAAACAAAAAAGCCTTAAATAGAATGCAAATGTATTTCACTACATGCTGATTAATAGTAATTGGGCAAAGGATATAAGTAATGAACGTTAGAAGCCTTTTGAAAGCTTTTAAAGTGTTAGATAATGGACTGTTGAATTCATACAGGGTGCTAAGTTTCTTATTTTAATATGATAAATAATGAAGGCCTCAAGAGATGATTATCAATTTTATGACTCTTCATCGCAACCATTATCAGTGAGATAGAATTGACTTCAGCTTCTTCGTGTGAAGAGAATGATTGAAGATACTAGATGTTAAGATATAATCATTCAATCCGAGGGTTCAATTTCAAGACACGAAATGTTTCTAACATATAGATTATTGTGATTTTTCTTTGGAAAACGAGTGTGAACATTCCGATAAATCTAGTGAGCAGGAATATATTGTAGCACTGTTTATCATGCTGTACAAGGTGGTTTTAACTTTTGAGTATGTGGATGAAATGCCAAAGTGTGACCATTCAAATGAAAGCTACTGAGCAGTACTTTCCTGTGGTACTGTTTATTATGCTGTTCGAGGTGGTTCTAACTTTTGAGTCTGTGGATGAAATCCTAAAGTGTGACCATTCAAATTCTACTGAGCAGTACTTTCCTGTGGTACTGTTTATTGTGGTACTGGTTTATTTTGAGCTGTTCGAGGTGACCATTCTGAAAACAGTTCTTTTGAGTTTGTGGATGGAAAGTCTGTGGATGAAAAAATGTGACCATTCGAATACTGAAAGTACTTTCCTGTGGTACTGAGCAGTGGTTTCATTGATGCTACCATTTTACTGTTTATATGTTGTTACAAGATCTAACTTTTCTACCACTAAAATGTGACCATTCGAGTCTGTGAATCAAAGTTTACTATATATGAGTACAAGATGTTTCTACCACATTTTCTGTTTGGTGTACTTTTCTTTTATTGGACATCAAGAGGTTCTTTTGTGTTCTCTTGGCTACATAAAGTATTCCTGCCGTTTGAGAGTTTCAATAATAAATACCTACGTTTTATATTGTGCTATATTTAACAACATGAAATAGCCTCATTTTCCTGGCCTTACCAGGGTAAAAGTCGTATATTAAGTTTTTTCCATCATGCTCTTTCCTTCTGGATAAAAGTGATAAGTATACAAATATTGGCTTTTGGTGTACAATCTCCGCCAAAAAGCCTTTCGTGGTAGAAGTTTATCCTGATTGGGTTAGATCATGATATTTCATTTTTGCTAGTCTTGTCCGTCCGTAGTTTTTAAAATTCATTCGAGTGAGGATTTGCTAAACATCCTCGAGAAAGGCGATCTGGTTTACAGAGACTCAGAAATCGAATTCAAAGTCATAAAATAAATATCAAAGCAAATTTAGATAGCCTTATTTTATGAACAAGGCAAGTCAACGCAATGTTGCGTGCGACAGAACGCCGCAATATCCTTCGTGCTGCCGGTAATTACTTCATCAGAAATTCAATTTCTTTTAAGAGTGTTTTTCTAACAAGATTGCTATGCAACGGCGGGAAGTTGGGATTGGTTAGCCAGCGATGTTCCGTGATAAGTCGCACGACGTGAGGGCATTTAGTGTAGTTGTATTGTAATTGGAATAAACTATAATCACAGACCAAGAAGGGACCAAGATGATCGAAGATTAAAGTGAAGATGGAGAAATTTAGAATCAAGTTTATTGAAAACGCGAAACGCCAATTTGTACTACGTGACCTCGTTTTCTATCTGCTTGTCATTACTGCACATTAATATCTATACTCAAGAGACCGCCTTAAGAAGCAGTTACAGGTCATTTTCATCCATAACTTATTATTTTGCGCAGTGTTTGCCTGCTCATTTCCTAATTTAAAAAAAATGTCATGATCAAGTGCAATTCGACGTTTTAGGTTGCTGTACTGTGAAAGCGTAAATATTGACAATATAAATAAACTTTATTAAAAAAAAGAAAAGCTTTAAATATCGATATCGGAAACTAAAATAAGGTGCTCACCGAACTTGGTACTAAAAGAGTTACGAAAACCCTTCATGGGGGGCAATTCTTATTATGCTTTTAATTAACATTTGTTACATTTATTTGATATATTCAGAAAGGGGTTTTATATATTATATTTCGAATTCCCAAAAACCTACAGCTTTTAAGCCAATCAATAATTATATTGGTCTGAATTAAATACTGGTGATAAATCAGGCGCGCTATGATCAATCAATTTGGTTAAAATAAGAAAACTGTTACTTGTTGTAAGAAATTGTACAAAAAACCAGCAATTTTTGCCCACTCCACTGTCACCTTCTTTATATAGTAACCTTACGGAACGAATGGTGATCAGTAAGTTCCTTTTTAATTAAAAGTTTTATATTATATTTTCGTTATATTTACATTCTTCTATAAAACTTCTTTACACCTAAGCTTTGCAATTTCCTCCTGGGCCTAATGCGTTGAGTTATTTGAATTCTAAAAGTTGTGATTCTTCTTCTTGTGGTAATATTAGCTTTTAAATATAGGGTCAAACGTTTTATGCAGACTCAAAATTTAGGATCAACTGGACATCCA